TTCACAACTTTTTTTTCTTCTTCCTATCAATAATCGGAAAAACTTGCAGGGATTAATGAAGGACCGACATTCCGCATCGTTCAGGATCAAAATAAGGCTGACAGCAGGCTGACTAACGCAAGGCTGACACCATGGAGGGTTGACCTCGGGAAAATGACAGACACGCAGGCCAGACACGCAGGCCCGGGGGGGGGTTAATAAGTATCACGAAAATCACAATATAAATAGGAATAGTCCGAATCATACATATTTCTACATATTCACACATATTCATCATACCTTATTAGTATCTATCTCTGGATCGTAATGTTTGATAGGTGGTTCAAGGTTCTTGCTTCTAGCTTTTCTGCTACTGCACTTGTGGTTGCTTTTTTGGCTCTTTGGCTCCAAAATGATTTAGTCACATGGTAATTCAGAACTGCTAGGCACATACAAACGTTATCACAATTCATATATACATGCCGACGTACAGTAAACTCTGAAAACTAGGTTTGAACACTCACGATCCCACGTACTTAATCTCCGTCGGCGCTTTCACTGGTCCCTAGGTATTGAATTCCTTTTGTTTTCGATCTTCGACTTCTCGATTGCCAGTAAGGTCTTTACACATTTTCCTCTTGGTACCACAGCGTACAGAGTATTATTAGAACGACCAATCCAAACACCCTTGCACGGGGCAAATAACCTTTTTACTCGCGGGGCAGGAATATATGTTATTTAGTGATATGAGGCTTTTGCATCATTTCATTAAGTAGTCGCGCCCCTTGGAGGAATTCGAAAACCGGTCGTCCGAATAGTCAGGAGTAATCGATCTTGGAATGCTACCCTCACGCAAACGATCAAAACTAAATCCTTCCAAGGACCAGTCAACGTCTTCCTCAAAAAATGCCGCAGAACCGGGACAGACCACTAGCAACAACGGTCAGCATGGTGCAGCTTTTGACAAAAAAGTAAGATGCCCAAGTTCCGTTGCTGTTGAAACGAGTATGTGTCGGTGTAGTGAAGCTAACAAGGTAATAAAGCTCGGATCGAGGGCGAGTTGGTATGGAACTTGGCCGCGAAAATCTACTGTTTCTACACAGGTTGTGAAAGAGACAATCTTAGCTGATAAACCATCGAACGGGAATATGGCGACGGAATTGAGCCATCGCAATCAACGAAAACCTTCATCAGTCACATCAAGACCCCCATCAATGTACCCAGGGAAAAGCAAACCAGCATCGGAAATAACATTGAGCGTTCCACCGCAGGAGACTTCGAACAACAAAACAAGTAGCAAGAAAGATGAGAATGTACCCCGAGGCGTTGGCAATCCAGAAACACCTCCAAGAACCCGATCGTTGGGTGAGTCAGATACACCGAAAGAAACAAACTCGCAAAGCTCGCCGATTGCTGAGATTGCAAAGCTGCCGGTCACATCTCAAGGCTGGTTAGGCTGGTTAGGCATGCCATCGCAAATATCAAAGGAGTCAAAAGTGTCTAGTCCTGTGGTAGAGGAGCCTCAAAAACAAGATACTGAAGAACTCCCATCAAATGAGACAATTATACCAGAGCAGGCAATGGCAGAAGAAGCGATGGAGGCTCCGAAACAAACATTATCAGCATCGAGGTCATGGTTTAATTTATGGTCAGCCTCTCAACCTCCAATTCCTGCAGAAGGCCCAAGAGAACCAGTTTTAACCCAAGAATTGGAGAGCAATCCCATCAAAATTATCAAAGATGCATCGAAAGATGCACCTAAATCTCCACAATCGACACCGAGTAGATCTACAACGCAACCTGGTGGGTCTAGTTGGGCATCGGCGTTTTGGTACTCCGACAATACCAAAAAAGGTACCGAGCCTCTGGAGGATAGTAATAAGGGGGAAACTGGCGAGTTAGCAGTCTCGGGCGAGCAATCTCAAAGTCATCCGCTTCCAGCTCAAGCTGTTCCAGCCGTTGATACTAATACGTTAAATGGGGACAAAAAGCCAAAAGCAACCGGCAAGAAAAGTCGACCGAAGTCTATAGATATTGAAGAAATCTCTCAGAAAACTGCAAGTGCACAATTAGATGATGCATCCAAAAAAGTCACCACCCCATCTCACATCCCGTCGCCGCCTAATCTATTGCTACCGTCCGTACAAAGTACATATCACTTGATGGAAAATCCATCATTCTTACGACAATTGACAAGATTGATTGTACGTGGTCGACAGAAACCCATGAAGCATGTATCTTTGGCGGAGGAAGTACCAACAATTAAGAATGCAGTCGCGATAGGCGTGCATGGTCTATTCCCTGCACCTTTGTTGCGCAAACTCATCGGACAGCCCAGTGGAACGTCGATAAGATTCGCTAATCATGCAGCGGCTGCTATAAAGCGGTGGGCAGATGCACATGGGTCTCCTAATTGTGAAATAGAGAAAGTGGCACTTGATGGCGAGGGCAAAATCTTTGAGAGGGTGGATAAACTTTGGAAACTGCTCAGTAATTGGACCGATCGATTACGGCAAGCAGATTTCATTATGGTGGCTGCTCATTCACAGGGTGTCCCGGTTGCTTTGATGCTTGTATCAAAATTGATAGAAGAGGGCATAGTATCGTCAGCAAGAATTGGCGTGTGTGCGATGGGTGAGTTGCGAGAAATCATCCTGGTATACAAATATCTCTAACAAACCATTAGCTGGTGTGTCATTAGGCCCTTTTGCAAGTCACCAAACTGGATATCAAGCAGCGTTATTCAACGAAATGATCACGGAACTCTTTGAGTTTGCAAATTACGAAAGCGAGGTAGCAAAGCATTATGAAAAGGCCCTTCGACGGGTCTTAAAGTATGGAGTAAGGGTAACCTTTTGTGCGAGTATTGACGACCAACTCGTATCTATTGAGGTATGTCAACATATTTTCCCGATTTTGTTGATGTCATTACTAACAGCATCCTAGTCCGCCATCTTCTCGCCAGCAGAACATCCATACATTTACCGAGCTGTATTCGTGGATGGACGCATACATGCTCCGGACTTCATTGCCCACTTAGTCGGCTTCGCGTTAAAATTACGCAATCTTGGTGTGTCCGATCACGGGCTTATTCGTGAACTATCGGCACCTCTAGCTGGAAGTCTCTACACTGGTGGTGGTCACTCCCGTCTTTATGATGACGACAAAGTATATGAGTAAGTCTTCTCTTCTTTCTAGAAAATTTTCCTACTTTATTAACGTGTAATCTCAGCATGGCAATGGATCATGCCCTTACCACTACTTCAGTTCCCGACGTACCTTTGCATATGTCCCAATACGCCCCGCCTACAAACGCAAATCCGTACGTTTTACCCTGGATCATGCGTGGTGTACTCGAGGAAGAATTCGTGAAAACCGAACTGCACAATGAAGCAGTGGAACTACTGAAGCAATTCGATGATTGGAAACCCACTACTAAAGTCTTACAAGATGTGAAGTACCGGTTGGAAGCCGTCAGATCTAAACTATGAGGAAGAGTCGGCATTGTACATCAGTTTGATCGGGAGTTTTAGCATTTGTGTATTATAAGATTGCGTTTGGACATTCAGGAGGCGTAACTTTGCATATATACTATACATAGGGATTTGGTGAGCAGGGCATACTGCATGGGATGCGAGCGTAGGCGTAGGGAAATTTACTTAGGCTTTTATACTTTTATACTGGAAATCTGATGTCCATATTGTTTGCCTTCAGGTGTGTCTTTTTAATATGACTTTTTATTTATCGATATCTTTCCTTGCATTCGAGATTGAGTGTCAAACCAAATTGTTGGTAAGGTCTAAACCGACCTTTAATTATTGCTCTACTATTCATATAATCTAATAGCATATCTGTACTTCTATATCTCACTTGTAGTAGGTTTGCAAAGCATAACTCTGTTGTTCTATTTCATTGCATAGATTAGAAGACACTACTCAATTCCCTAACTCGACATAAAATCGCAGCGTGTCTACCAAGTATCTGGACCACATGATAGGTACTTCCAAGCCTTCAAAATTCAAATGTAGAATTCAAATTCACGGACAAGTATTGCTTTGGAATCTGGATTTTGATTACTTTTATTATATTGTTTATTGATAATCATCATGGCTGCTAGGGTCGAATTGATAGATTATACTTCTAATAATAATAAAATTCAGTTCTTGTCGATATGCGTAATGTAATTTATCACATCTATCGGATTCAAACAAGACTATCACGAGCTCGCTTAGTGCTCCTGGTCAGTGGGTAGCAAGCACACGGAGTATATATCATGCACATATTGAACTGAACTATTTCATCACGGTGTACTGATACCATACCATATCAATATCGAGTCTTAACACACATATATATAACTTACAACAAAACTAACAATCAGTCCACTATCCATTTAACCATTCGTCCCACCACGATTTTCATCACGATGATACTCCCAATGCAGCTGTAGCTGTAGCTGTATCTTCACAATCAATTGTCAGTTCGCTTGCTAGTTTTTCTGTCACTCGTTATTGCTCGCCAATCCTAATAAGGAAGTTCAAGGGGGGGGGAGAGTTTATTTCTTTTTCCCATCTACTTTATTCAATTAGAACCATATACAGGCGCATCGCTTGGTCTTAGCATAGCTAAATAGACCGAATCGATTATGAATTTACTACTACTACTATACAAGTTTGCCAAACAGGCACGAAAGAGTCAGGCGAGGATCAAGTACTCCTGACTCGGTGTGGAAAGAAGTTTAATGCTTCCCCTGCCTCATGAAATCACATCCCCCCTTTCATTCATCCTGAACTGACACTCAGGGGTTAAGTGAAAATTGATATTTTCAATGTCATTATTGGAGTTTTTATGTATAAAAGTACTCACATTAGACTAAGTATTACAAGTAAGAGGATACCCACTCTCCACTTTCTGGAGACTGGATCCTTTCTATAGGTATATGTCATAAACCACAACAATTTTTACCAACGATGCGCAAGATTAGCACCGTAATTACCCAATCTCCTCTTTAAATCCAATTTCTAGTCATTTTTACCCTTTCTTCTATTTTCCTCGGACCCAGTTAAACTGTCTTCGCTAACCCCAACTGTAAAAGAAAAATCGGTCTCTCCCACTAACTCCTTTACACAATCCACCAACGTAGCCAGATCATCCGTCACCAACGAACTCGCCACTTGCATAACAGCATAAGCGCTATATCCCGGCTCTTGGATATGTCTCGAATCTAATATTCCACTATCAAGAGATTCAAGTCGACGATTCAGGCTATAAGGTTGGGGGAGTTGGATGAAAGGGGGAAGGGCCACGCCTGCACTGATCGCAGCGGAAAGGAGCGCAAGTGTTGAGGTTATTTGATGGCTGGTGGGTTCAACCTCATCCATGACAGCAGCAAGGTCACGAAGCCATTTGCTACGGGTATCGGTGTTTGTATGAATATCTTTGGACCAAGCTTTTGTTGTATACGACATCAATGCGAGGTAGCCCATGATACTGAAAATCAGTGATTAGCATACGTACACCTTAAGAATTTAGTGTCACTTACTTTGAGCAACTCTTTATGATATTCTCATAAGATTCACGAGGAAACTTTCCTCCAATTGTAGGCTCAAATTTTTGCCAAGCAGCATGTTGCTGCAAAGAAGGTAGAAGCAGGAGAAGCTTGCCAAACATCCTATGCCTAGCCTTTTCAAGGCGACGGCCAGGACTAGTCTTCGATGTCATATCGCCTTCTCTTCCATGCATTCGAGTATGAATAGTCGAATGGACTGTTGAGTAGTAGTTCGCCAAGATGTAAAGGGTTATCCCCAAATCTTTCCTTAACCAGCTACGATCCGTGAGCGGGTAAGGAAAGAAAGTCCAGATGAATGCCACAAAAGATCCTCCTGCAACGCATGCAAGTCTGTATGGAGCAAGCAAATAAATCCTGTCCTGACGTTAGAAAGTATCAATTCAACCGGGAAAAATAACCAACGGATAATAAGGTTGTCCATTACTGGTTGATACCGCAATTCCAATTTTCCTGACCTGAAGTTCATATCCAACAATCAATACTTGAGTGACTATGAACACGAGCCAAGCCGGTATCAAGCGAGGAAATTTTAAGAAAAGATACATCTCCAAGAAGATAAAGAACCAAAGCATCACGATAACTCCTGGAGTCTTTTGATCAACAATATACCAGATGACAATCGAGGTGACCATTGCTAGTGCAGTTCCCCCAACACGAGCCAGAAATCCAAATATCGATTGGCCTGAAGTCATCGTCATACCTATTCCAATTAGCTTCCCTACGGGCTCAAGACCGGGTTATTGACATACCAATTGCAATGATAATCAACGCCCAAACTAATCTTTGCTGCTGAAAGAAGACATGAGTGTCTCTGAGAAATGCAACAATACCGAGTGTCAAAGTTGCACAGGCCACTCTAAAGCCGAATGCTGATTCCGTGCTTCCCAAGAACCTCGGGATAATTCGAAGCCCATTGCCAAAATGTTGCCAAGTTGTCTTTGGTGGTAGATGTTCAGGATCTTTCCGAGGATTGAATCCTGAGCCCCAGTAGACATTGATTACACCTGCCTCTTGGTTATCTGGAGTGTGACTATCCGCAGTCGTATCTGCATGTGCAAGGCCAAGAATCCATTTCTTCATACGCCGTTGACCTGGCAGGATCAGACGATTCTTCTTCATAGTTCCATCTTGTACTTTCCCGTCTGCGAATCTAACCAATTCGATTACTGCGAGACCAGCCATGTAAAGCTAACTTGATTAGCACTGTTATAAAAGCAGAGTTGGTACAACCTACAAGATTTTCCATGAAAAGAATAAGATATAATTGCTGCTGGTCTCTTCTATGCGCGGCTTCGTCTCCGCTGACAGGTGCACCTGCAGGAGGAATGGGTCTACTTGTATCGAATTGTTCCGCAGACAATCCTTTTTCCTGCGCCCATTTCTTCAAAGTTTTTCCACGCTTTTTGTAAAATTCATCCAAAGCCTCTTCCATATAGGCGAGAAATCCAGCATCGCCAGGCTTTGATTGTGCATCAGCTGTCTCAACGTCACCAGCGGCTTTCTTTTTAGGTCGAGGAACAAGCTCCAAAGTAAGCGCTACATGTTCTAATCCTTGATCCATAACTGCAGTGATGATAGAAAATGGTTCATGGAGAGTCTTCACCACTTCATTCCATAACCTCTTTTCTTCTGCCTTACTTTTCAAAGGCATGTGTTCCCATTGCTCAAAACGATCTTTTGAACCCGTGGACTTGACCCATCCACGTCTTTCGCCGATTCGTACAAAAATATCTGTGATAGTACCCATTCCCAACAGTGGAACCATTATGTTCCGGAACAGGTCGAATATCTTGTCGATATCCTTAGCATCCAATTTACCCCAGGCGACCTCCCGCTTTCCAAATGGCATATCTCCGTAAAGTTTTCCATGCTGCCCGCGCAAACCATCGATTGCTCTCTTCAACGCCTTAGCCTCTGGAGATAATGTTGGATGGGAAGATCCTGCACTGCTTTTGTTGGATCCGTCAGATGGATCACCAGGGTTATCGCCATTCTCAGCAGCGAACATGTCACTTTCCTCCAAGCTTTGCAAAAATGTTGTCTGAGCTTTGAGAACGCCCCTCAGCAATTGAATGTATCCCGCTTGCCCTTTAAAAACAACCAAACGACACGAGACAGGTATAACAAACACATTGACCGCCGTGCTTAGAGCAAAGGCAGTCAAAAACGACTTTATCATTTGTTTGATGAGAGATTCGGCTGCTGCCACAGTGGGGAAAAGTGGACCATAAGTGAAAGCAATGTTTGAGAATATGCTATACATAATGACCGGAACATTCAAGGCTGGACTTTTGGCGCGTAACAAATTCGCAAACCATATGTTAGCAAACAACCAGATAGCGCACACAGCGGCCTGCGAGGAATTATACGCTTGTGGCACTCCTGGCATGGAAGTATGTTGTCGTGCTTTAATGCTGCTCCATAGTCCCAGCATTCCAATTGAAGCCCCAATGCAGACGGCAATTACGTTAAGTATCATCGTTTGAAAGAATTTAGCCCTTGGCATAATAGGCAGACTGATGACGCAAACGATGGCTACCAGATATCCTAAAGTTGTGTACGTTTGAGAAACCGAATCGGATTCGTAGAAAGCTATATAAAAGTTAGGAATAGGAACGTAATATGGGCTTCAGTTGACTTGCCAATAGCAATTGTAGGAGCTACCGATCCCCTAGATCGTACATCAGCATCTTTTCTGTTGAGAATGGATACAAATCATACTTGAACATCATCATCAATGTCGGTGCATCGAGTCCAAGTTTCCCCCATATTCCTTTCAACTTGGACGGTTTCTTCTCCTTACCCATGACCTCAGTCTGTCCGGTACCTCTTTTCGAGACTCCATCTGAGGTTGGCCTCGCATCATCATCACTTCTCTCAGTTGAGGGGTCAGGGGATGCTCCATCTCTTTTCTCCGTGTGCGACTCGCCATTCACAGAAACATCCTCCGTTGCCATCTTATCCACCAGGCTGAGGTTTACTTTCCTCGCAACACGTCAATTGATTATATACTCGTGTTCATGTGCACATTATTGGCACCAATTAAGGGAAATGAAGAAGGAATGTGAGAATGTTTTAACTTGATCTCGACCGCAATTGAACATTGTAAGAGAGAGAAATGTAATATTAATAAACTTCCTGCCGGTACCTAAGCATACGGTGAACGAAATTACAAGAACGGAACGATTGGCCAATCAATGAGATGTCGTCGGCTACAGCCTTGAGCTAGCACTGCAATGGAAGTATTTATGCTAATTATGCAAGTTATGCATCTCGAAAGACACCCACATTACAGCCTTAGGCATTTTTCACTTCACCCAACGTCTGACAACAGTCGGACTCCGACAACCCAACCGACTGATGCATTTTGCGGACTTTCATCGATAACCTCGAGCTCATTACAGTTCACGGCTCAAAGGATTGAAATGGAAGTCTTCCACGCCGATGTACAGACTCCAAATCTGCGAACTATCGTTTTGGGGCGATGATTTCTCTTGTACACCAGTTGATCCATGTACTTTCACGAAATCAATTGATATCGTCGTCTCTCTAGGTCAAAAGAAGAATCTATATATTCTACATATTGGTTTCCATATTGGATCTACACATTCATTGACCAAGAACAGTTCCTGTGTTTTGATCTATGCAGTTGGAATTTTTACATCCTCATTTGAGATCAAGGCATCGCTATAGTCTTTCCTCAGATATCTGTCAGATCAGGATTGGCGCAATACTCTTTATTAAATAGATGGAAAACATCCGCGAATAATATAGGGGAAAGAAGTAAGATTCACATTTGACGCTAGAGGACGATGAAAAAAAGACGGATCAATTGTACCAGACGAAAATTAATGACGTTACTCAACTTTTGAATCTTATGGATATTTTGCATGCCCTTTTGAAATCCAAGCATTCAATGCACTTTGCATTCTAAAGGTACTTTGCAAATATGTCTCTTCCTACCGACCCAAAAAACGATTCATTCCCCTTTATTGGCTTTATTCGCACTCGGCTCTTAAGATGATAACCCCCCCCCCCCCCGCGTTTTTGACGTTGCCTGCTAAGCATTTTTTCAACATCCGAACTAGTCTTCCATCCACTTTTTCTCCAATAATATCTACCATTGGTACGGGGCTCTCTCGGAAACTGCATCGTCACCCGCATCAAACATGAATCCTCCATCAACCTCGCGCAACACAACTGTAACCTCAGCCCAGCCCTCAGCCCCCACTCTCATCATTGCACCAGCTGAAAAGATACGATGAAGTAATCGTGTCATGTTGTTTCCACAGAAGCTGTGTAACATAACACTGCATACAATATATTAGTCCGTGACCCCTAATCCTCGTGGCACAATAGCCCTGCACGCAGATGACTTGTAGCTTTGTCACATGAGGGATCAAAAGTTCGTGTCTCTGTTGCATATCTAGAATTCCTGTCGTTCCGCCTTTGCCATCTGCTTGGGTGCAAATTGGAGAGAAAAGTATGCTGTTTGATAAGTAGGGAACTTCTCCCGTACAATAATTATAGGGTGATGAAAGCCCGTCCATCTGACTGTGCGAAACCTCGAATCGAACCAGTACTAGGTGGTTACAATAGTAAGAGATGCGATTCCTATTCCCCAGCCTTATCAATACATTCCAAGATTCCTAGCTCCCATCTTACAGCATCTGGTTCGATGCACCCAAAATCAATGCCTCTTTATTAACAATTATGCCGTTAGAGTGTGGGCGCTCTTTTCAACCCCACGCAGTACCTAACAAATAGCTGATCCATAAAATGAGCATGTTTAATGCCTTTCGGTCTTCTTTTAGCGAACTCATCAATAGCTCCTTGAACTCCATACCCACACCTTTCGACCAGATAACATACAATGAAGTATCCGGTTCTGTTGAAGCCATAGTGGCAGTGTACCCCCACAAACCACTCACCCTCAGCCCCTCCCTTTTCTTTTCTTGCCGCCTGCTCATCTCTTAGCCGATCAATCAAATTGATGAAGGTGACAACCTCGTCGGATGTGGGTGGAATTTTAGATACTGTCGGGAATTTGTGGTATCGTATTCCGCCATTTTCGAGACCTCGTGGATCATACACCGGACTTTCGTGGCTAATATCGACAATATCCTTGATCTGCTCGCCCCAATCTTTCACAAACACCTCTGGACAATGACTATCATCTACCTCTCTCAAAGTTTTCATTGCACGAAATACGCCCGCGATAGGCTCTGAAACAGGTGCCACTGCTTGCCACTTTGCCAAATTCTTTACATCCCATTTGCCGGAAGTAGAGAGAAATTGTAGTTGCCACCCCAAGGATAAACGAGGTGACACTTGGGTACAAAGAAAATCAGATATAAGACCTGCAAGGGTTCTCACAGTGGTTGGCATGTAGAGCAAAGCATGCGAAGCGGGGGCTGGAATGATTGTCATTTTTAGGACCCTCTTCGGTCTGAGAGGTTGGGGAGGGATGTTTTCGGTTCTTTCAATAGCATCCGGTGTCGATGGGTCTTCTAGCGATTCCACAGTGGTATCGGGGTTCTTTTCGAGAAGCAGGTTTTCAGTTGAGGGATTGATACCATTGCTTATAGATTTGCTCTTCCCAGACATATCAACAGGCGCAGCTGCATCAAGTATAGGCTCACTTTTGTCGCTGGGTTCAATTTGGACTGGGTGAGACTTTCCAAGAAATTGGGCAATCTTTTCAATCTCCCCGGGTTTTGTGATATTATCAGCTGCCCCAGCAACAAGGAAGACAGGCATATCCAGCCCCTTCCAGATATCTCCGCCCGCAAGTCCACCTTTCGCAATGTGGTTTTCATAAACGGGCAAAGTACCAGCTGCCATTCTCCTCCATACTGCAGTTTTACTCTGGCTATTGAATCGTTCTTGCAGCCTTTTGGTTTCGTCATCTGCTGAAGGGCCAACAAATCTATGCACACTGGCACTTTCAGGGCCACCTCGGCGATCCCAGTTTCGCCAAAGATCAAAAATGGGATTCGGGACCAGAAGTAGCTTCTTGAACTTACTAACCTCATCTTCACTAGGGGGTTCCGCCCGAGGGCAAATTGCCTAAATTTTAAATTAGTAAGCAGCAATATGCCTTACAAATGATTAGATTCCTTACAATAAGGCCCATGACGTTCTCTGATAGTGCAATTGATTGTGGCGACGTTGTAGACGCAAGTAGGGCGGCTATAGAGCAACCCAAACTGTGTCCAATCAAAACTACACCCTGCTTCGTATCCTTCTCCCTGTAGTCCTCAATGACTTTCCCCATAAGCTCTGCAAGAGCGTCTACAGTATAAGCATCCCAAGGTAATTTTGGGTCGAATGCAGAAAGGCCGCAGCCTGGTAGGTCGATTGAAAGACATGATGCCAAATTCACAAGGCTTGTTAAAAGAGGGTTGAATTGCGCAACTGACCCCCCCAGACCATGGATGAAAACTAGTAGAGGTAGTGGGGCAGGTTTCGTGGGTAGCTTGTCGGCTTGAGCATGTCTGCTGAAGAAAACTCGTAATGAAGAATATGTAAAACGACTCGTGGCGTAGGATCTTATCTCAGAATGTTTTTTTAAAAGTCCTGGATCGACGACTTCGGAATCTACAAATCCAATTGATCAGTAACCTTGCCCAGCAATTCCATATTCTACGGAAAGAGTGGGCGTTGCGACAGAGCTCACCATTGATATCTATACTCTGTTTAGGAATGGTTCCATGTGCACTTCCATTGAGCGATTTCGTGTCATTGTAAGCCTTGCTCTTCCTTCCATTTCGCAGATACCAGAAAGCAGGAAACACACTACACAGAAGAGCAATTTGCACCATATCCCGACCGCTCAACTTTCCCTGTGTTGTGTTGGTATAGACTCGGCTTACACTAGCTGCAACAGCCTGTATTGGTAAGATTAGTTTGCTAGAAGAGTCTAACAACGGCGAAACGCTGTTACCTGGTAAAGCAAGAATGAGAGGAAAAAAGGAACATAACGATAGCGATAGCAGCAACGAGAAAGCTGCCATTCTTGTATTAACCCCCAAATATGTTTTGGGGGTCAGACAAAAAGCAAAGTCCTATCGGGAATTTACTTTCTGGTTGTGATCAAAGTACTCATAGCCAATAACGTTGTCACGCTGCTCCGTAGAAGCTGTACTCGAATGAGTGATCGATGCTCCTTTTCCGGGCAATAGAGGGGAATTGGATTATGGCAGATGAGACAGACGTGAACGTGGCTCTCCTTGGAAAACTTTGTCTGACAATCCGCTGCTGACTCTGGAGGGATCTCCTTATTTATTTTTTCTAGTGCTCCTATCAAGGTTTTTTGATGTGTGCACTTTGTACTGGGAGGTGTACACATTTTTCTCAAGGCTTGCGGTTATTTTGTGCGATTGTGATTAGAGATTACGTGACTCGCCCAGGATTATGGATATCAGGTATGGATGTATGGATGTATGATTGATTGACAATTTGATATGGAGCTTGGTCGTCCTTCCCCATTGAATTCTCTTTTTGTTGGCTCGTGTTAAAATTCTTTGTCTCCATTGGCTAAATCTCTTCAGTTGTGGATTCCAGCTACTTGCCCTCCGAGTACAGTACCTGAGTACTTACATCGTGCGGAGTGTGAGTATGCTGCTTAGACTACCAGCTTACACGAAAAAAATATGTCGAACAACACATTTTGTGTCTCATACATTACAATCCTGTTGATGAATATTAGGTATTTGCATTCCTATCAAGTATCTACTTCGTATTGGTATTGGTATTGGTATGGGTATGGGTATTGATTGGTATCTATCACGAACTGCATTACACATATATTGATTCGAAATTACGACGATCACAATGTCGACTTCCATTCTTTGAAATACGCGTGGTCGTTCAGTAGGTGTATGTTAGAGTCAAGCGAAAAGGCCTTCCACGGCAGACAGCCAAAGGAACATCATCAGAAGGAGGTTGTGGATGGAACTGGCACAGATGATGGTAGATAAGTACGTGTAGGCTGCTACCAGTCCATCGCTTCTTCAAGCACAATTAACTACATATGCATGCAAGCCAGGAAAGACTTGGTACCCAGCCTGAATGAAGGTCATTGACCGCGCCCAAGAGTATACTCCTTGATTATAAGCCAACTCCATACTCTAAAATCATGAGAAGTAGGTCAAATAAGAATGGATGGCCTCAGATCATCCTTTATCACCCATCACGCCGATTTACAATCGACATCCACCAATCAGCTCGAACTATCAAATTTCCGGTTCAATGTCTTGCACACAAAGCTAAATAATGGATGGCGCATGGGATTCCTCACATTTTGCGAATAATTTATCATTTTAATTGTAGTTCCTGCATTCGGGGAAAGACAACGGGCTGAGACAACCGAAGCTGACGGCTACTGCAACAGGCAATAATATCTGGTACCTTGGACAACCACGTCTTCATCTAAATCAACGTATTTAGATGTATTGTACATATACATACAAATATAAAAATTCTAGCATACGTCAAGTACCCTAATGATGTTGGACAAAGAATCAAGAGTGAATCAATGTTTAGTCGAGGTTGTGGGAGAACTTGAATGGAATCGGGGTGACCTTCTTCTCTGAGCGATGTTTGCTAGATTTGGAAGGTGGTGTGTATTTATATTTGTTTATCTTTGACAATGGCGATGGCTCGGGAGTTGTCAAATCAATGCTCCTGGAACTGACTTGCTTTGGTGATGATGAGCTATAAGTTGCAGCTTTACTCAGGTTTCGTTCACGCAAGCTCTGGGTAGATCTTGACGGGGTGACAGGCTCCCCCGTTTTTAATCTCTTTGAGGATCAATTTCTTGCATGTCTTGTCGGGGGCGTTATTTCTGGGGTAGGTAAAGCATCTGTAGATCTCTCGGGTGAAGCTGTTCTCGAACTTCTCAAGCTCATGGAATCCAAATCATCAGATGCTGTGTAAACATCCATTCCGGCGGGTGAATATATGGATGGCACATTGCGACGGCTTAGCAAGTTGCGATCTACCGGCTTGGAAAGTAAACTCCTTTTTGCCTGCTGAAACTCCGCTATTGCTCGTGATCGCTCAGAAGGTACAGCATGGCCGTGCAGCCTGCCACTCTTTACTGACGTAGAGTAGTGGTCCACTACTGGGTCTAGTGGTGGAGGTGCTTTGGCGTAGTTTTTCGAACTCAAAGGCAGGCTATATTTCGTGGACTTCATATCCACTCTCGTGCTTCGTTGTTTAGATGAAGGCAAGTGCGTGTTGCTGGCAAGATCTTTCTGCACGTTAGGCGTTGGGGTTGGCTTCCTCAAGTGAAGGGTAGATAAGTTAGACTTCGATCTGTTGACTTGATCGACAGTTCGAGGGTGACCGTTTAATCTTGTGACTTTTGGTAGCAGATCATTAGAATGGAAGATGAATGGTTCATCATCAAGGCCGTCATCCTCGTCATTCAATAATCTCTTCCGCTTCCCTTCATATTTGTTTTTCCGAGATGGAGAAACCTCAGGTGTGTTGTAGTCTACCGTCATTCCTGTCTTGGACATTGAGTACTTCGTTATTTGAGATTGCCCTTTTTGTGCAGTATGTTTCGCCCGGAGCTGCTTCTTCCCATCCACCTTCACCCATTCTGCTTCCACGAAAGTTTTTGCAGCAATTATTTCAAATTCGATGCCCGTCGAATCCCTCAATATAGCAGCAAAGTGTCTGCAACTCTCACAGGGGTCTTTATCGATGTATATCTGTGCTTGGAGGGGTGTATTCAGGTTCCAAAGCTCTTCTAATCTGTGCATCGCTATGTCGCCGGTCTCCGAGTCGTAGATCAGATCCAGTACGAGCATCAGTATGAGCTTCTTCTCGACGTGGCAAGCTGCGTATCTTCCGATTTCAGTCTTGTCCCAGCAATTCCTTTGAAGTTTAAAGCCTAAATAATTGCAAAATTGCAATACTTGCTGTAAAATCGATAGATTAGCACCGCTTTGTATGGAAGAAATAGGATATTGTCTGTGGTCTAGTTCTTTACAACTAGAACACGGATAGTTGTCCTAACAAAATTAGGGAAACTTACAGCTGAGCAAAATTCGTTGTCCCTTAACGAATCGTCATGCTCTCTCCTTCCCCAACCACTTGCTGCTTTAAACTTTACCTCCTCACCTTTGAGACGGATCATTCCAAAGGTTTTTCCTGTACCGTTACACCTGTAGGTTGCTACAGGCTCTGCGAATACAACTCTATCTCCTTTTCTCCTAATATATATCTCATCACTATTAACACGCCCCCGCTGGAGAAAAGGATGTAATTGAGTTTTCTTCAAAGTATTTTGCCATGAATTTGCACGTCCTTTTCAAAGCCGAAATATATTGCAACGATGGAGGTCTATCTGGAGTATTATACGCCAAGCCATCTGCTAGCTTTGGCATCAACGTGCTCTGTATCAATTTATATCCATTTTGTCCTGAAGATTGGTTTGGTGTCGCCGAATGTTCGATCAAGTGCCTGGTGCCTGTACTTGTGCTGGCAGTCGTTTTGGTAGTAGTCTGCACGACTCCAATGATAGGTTTTGGCAAACCATAGGAGTCGAATATTCCACTTCCCTTGCGATGGCGAGGCATATCTATCGTTCATTCAATATGAAAGGGGTTGAATAGACAGAAGGTTGGATATTGAGAAGTAAGGAAAGCTGAAAGTTCAGAATTTGTGCGAGGCTTGAGGGGAAAAAGCAAAGTTGTGGCAAAGATAGCCGATCTTGATATTGAATGTAATAGGTCACATTGAAGCTCTCCGCCGACGCCCGAGGCAGTGAGCCTGGAGGTGCAATTTCCCGTAATAATATCAGAGCTCAAAATAATTATGCTCGTTCGACTCCTCTCAGGGAGTGAGGCTGCCTTACTTGAGACAAATTCATAATCAACTTTGCTCGCCAACAGTAATTTTGGTCAATAGGGTTGTGCCTCAATAGCTAAAGTAGATGCTTCAATATCACATCTTTCATTGTCCTACGGAATCTTGCACATTCAGATCATAGTAGGTAGATTAGATGACTACAGTGAGAGTTTCATTGTGAATATCTGCCAGCAATATCTAAAGGGCGCGGTCACGAGAATTGCAATAGGTGCTCAACACTACCTAGGTAGGTTTGTAGCTCTACGCTCATTTTCCATTATGTTGTTTCGCAGTATTCAATATTTCCGCCATATCATATTTTGTTCCTTGCATGAAATGCCTGTTTGAGCTCAAAATACTGTATTTTTGAGACCTTGCGAAATTGGAAAAGAAAATCAAGGGAATTTATTGATTTCTTACGTATGTGTTTTATGCCAAACGACAGCTGAAGACGAGCTCAATATTATATAGATAAACCCTTTGTGGAGCTCTTTCATGACCTGTCAACGCCTTTTCGTTGTCTGTCATTTCCTGATCCTTAAACGTTGAACTTTGACACTATGTTCGTTTCCCAGGGACTTTTTGTTGTTGCGCTTTCCATCTTTGAATCTTCCGCTGCCTATGAATTTGGCAAAAGACAAGCGACATTATCTTTATGTCCCACTCAGGAGACTATTACTGTCACTGCCTCAGAATGTCCAATCTTCTCTTCTTCTGCACCTCCCAGTAGTGGTGTGTATTCGACTCCCGGCTTCACATCCGCCTCCACTAGCTCTGAGATTCTAGCCAGTACATCGGCATCCAGCAGTGGAGCTGCTACTTACACGAGTCCTACTCCTGTCTCTTCAACTGAATTTTCCACGCTAGTATCATCATTCTTGGGTACCCTTTCTGCTACCGAAAGCTTGGTATCTTCATCGTTCTCTTCTGAACCTTCGCTTTCATCAACCAGTATTGTCATTTCTGTAACGACATCTGAGATTTCTTCGATAATTACGGAAGGATCCACTTCAATTCCAGCTTACACTTCGAGCAGTGCTGTTGTTTCAGAGCCCTCTTCTTCGGTGATCCAGACCTCAGTTGAATCTTCCGCGGAAGTCTCTTCCGCCTACGTCACGCCTACATTATCAAATAGCATATCTGTATCATCTGTGCCAGTTTCCTCCGAATCGACAAGCGTTCCGGAGCTATCGATGTCAACCTTGGAACCAAGTAGTATTATCCAAAGCGAAAGTTCTATATCTGCTTCCCTCACATCCGCTGAACCTAGCACTTCAATTGGATTTTCCTCAGCTTCGAGCTTGATTCCTAGTACCGCAGCTTCTACCACATACACTCTACTACCCTCTTCCTCATTCATAACTTCATCCCTTCCTTCCTCTGCAGCCACATCGACAAGCATATACACAGTAACTTCTTCCGCACCTCTACCCTCCATTTCATCTATCACAATAACCACAACCGTTATCAGTACAGTTGGAGGCCAAACCACGACCGTTTTATCAACATTTACACAAGCCACTACTGTCGCAACGACCATCATAACCACCGTTCAAGTACCAACTACCGTGGTTAGCCTAGGGACCACAACTGTTATACAATATACTACTGTGTCACCTCCAGCCTGCACTATCCATCCTACATTGATCAATGGTGGATTCGAAAGTGGAAATGGTATCGAGCCTTTTGAAGCAGTGGCTACGGGGCCCAATGCGCCTAGTTATACCACTGCGGCCGTTCCTCATAGCGGATCTACTAGTTTGTAAGTTTCTCCTCTTTCTCAGACAAGATAGACATAATTACTAATCCATGAATTTCCTTTCCCAGAGAGTTACTTTTCTTCCCATCATCCTCAGCCACCTCATACATCACTCTAACCCAAACCGTGTCCGCCTGTCCTTCGTACAACTATCTCCTGACCGGTTACGTGAAAGCAAGTAATAACCTTAGCATCAATCCATCGTCCAATTGCTACATCTATCGTGAGTCCCCTTTAACATCCTGTTCCTTCCCTTTCTCCCCGAACAAATCACTAACTCTCTCTTAAGTTCAAACCCCCACACAGTCCTCCCTCACTACCCTCATCAATTCCTCCACTTACCCTGGCTGGAGCATGATCTATCTCTTCTTCACTGCTCCCGGAAGCGTTGGAGATGGAGTGCAGAGTGTACCTTTGACGGTGCATTCTTACTGTGATAGCGGGGCTGCCGATTCACCGGGATTGTACGTCGATGATCTTGTTGTTAGCGGGTAATGGTCTGAAGACAGTGAGAAGGATGCGAGTTATTGGTGGTTGGTTTGAATGGAGGAAGGAGAATGGGAAGTGGGAGACATAAATTGGAAAAGTCTTTTTTTTTGTTTAATTATTGTATTGGTGCGTGGTTCAGAGATTGTACGAGTATGAGAGGGAGCGTGTAATGTTAGTGACAGGTTTGGGGATTGGTGAGTAGCTGTTGTATGCATTAATGAATTTATAATTTGGTCTTTCTTTGAATGAGTGGAAACTTTCTTTCTGGACAAAGCAATCACTAGGCTAGGTGACGGGACGTTGTGTAAACTCGATATGCCATGATTGTAATTGGGTCTTTATAGTACCCATTCTGTGCGACGTATCTACATGCCCATTTCATGTAAATCCCGCCATACTTCACAATTCTCATAAGGAGAAACGATCTATTAATGTGAAAAGCGAACGGAAATTTTGAATTGAGAAGTAACAGCCTTCTGCAACAGTGAACCATAAAGTATCACTCAACCATTTAATTGCTCACTCTCTATCTTCTCACAGATCAACAAATTTTTACCGACTCCCGCGGCCCAGACCAACTGGTAACAAGTAACTCCCCATCCCCGATCAAATTCTCGCCCGCCCATTTCAGGTACCCTGTCAATCCTTGATGGTTCTAGAGAAATTGCCAGTAATCTATTTATAACTTCCGCGCCTTCACACAGGATATCAGGGTCTTCTTGGACGTACATGGCTCTACAACATCCGAGGGGAAATTTTGTTTGGAAAGTTTTGATACTGAACGTTGTGAGCTGGGCTAGAGGGGCAGGGATCAAAGAATGAGGGTTGGTATTTAGGGTGTTCTTCATGGGCTCGACAGCGAGAGAGTGCTCGAGGGAGCGGAGGATAATTGGAAGGACCGTGGTAGAAAGGAGGATGTCGGCTTGATCGAGTGGGATTCTGGAGCCCCGACTTTTATGGCCTAGAACGTAAGAGAGGGAGGCTAGGTTCGCAGCATAATTCAGATCCTATGAGGAATATTAGTTGGCTGGTTGGAAAGGAGATGGGGTGGGAGATAGACATACGCAGCTGAGAACGTCGAATGTAGGAGCAGAGCGTTTTTTCCATCGCTCAGCACCAAAGTACTGTGTGTGAAGGTAATCGGTGCTATGAATTTTACATTGTTAGCATTAGATTTGAAGGATTATAAACTCAAAAGGCACAATATGACATGTCGAAGTGGAAAGGTGGATTCAGAACAATCTAGATATCGGATGTCTCTCGGTCTGACGTTGCCAAGATAGGCCCTCGACTTTGAGAGTGGATTGAGAAGGGAGAACTAACCTTAAGATGATGTGAATACCGTGAATATTATCCAACATTATTGGAGATAATTTAGAGAGAGAAGGATAATGGAAAACCCAACCACGTAGAGGCAGATTATGATAACTATTGCCAATGTTGGGATGAAGGCCAAGCTCTTTTTCTTGCAGGTAAACCCACGCCATATACTCAAAACTGCTCTTCGAGCTATCGGTCACCCACTCCGTGATCTCCTCAGGTGGATCGGAAACTTGAACTTCGGGAGGGAAACTATAGACATGGCTCCATGTAAGGCTAGGACGAAGTTCAATTGTACATTGCATAATCCTCAAAGCAAAGAACTCTCGATAGAGCTTCTGATCCGGGATCAAAGCGATTTCAAAGGTAGGAAGATCTATACGAAGCAATCCTGCATTTCCTGATATATTGATCTTTTCACAGGGTCCCATGATCCAGTTTTGATAGATCAGCACTGAACGTTCAGGGTAATCTGCAAAGTAATCCTTGAGAATGAGACGGAAGATTTGCTCCCTGACTTCGGGTGGGAAGATATTGAGATTGCATGTCTTGTTGATCTTCTTTCGCTTCTCACCGATTGATTTCGTTCTGAGCTCTGTGTGAACGTGAAGTGCGTCTCCAGTTGGTGGCATGAGTTTCGACCTTGACTTGTAAGAGGAGATAATATCAACAAAGAAGTTTGGCGGCAAAATTTTTGACTATAAGGTGATGAGTTTTGGATATTAATCATTTGTGGTCTGGTGTTTGCAAAACTTACAAGATGTACAAAATCTTCCTGTTGCCAAAGTTCAAACTTCTCGCATACATCAAGATATCGTTGTTGAGTCCCCTCCTGAAGTCTTCCTGTCAGTTCATCGCGCGATTGAACGTCCAATCCATCAATAAGCTTCTGAAATGAGTCCATGTCCACCTGAAACAAACCTTGTTGGTTCATTATGTCAACTTTCAAAGTCTTCGATCTGAAGAGTTGGATTTTATGCAAAGGAACAGAGGGAGGGAGGGAGGAAGTCAAGGTTCGGAGACTGGGCTGCTTGAGATTACTAGGTCGGTGTGGTATCCGAAGTTTTCGGGTGACAATTCTGGAAGTGAATCTCGCTTCAGCTGGTCTCAAGGTGAATTCACTCGCTCTTCAACCCTCTTTTTGAGAGATACTATGTAGCTGGTGACATCCTCTAGCTTCTTCAACGATTGAATGTGAGCTTTCCAAGTCGTGACGAGGACAGTTCTACGTGACTTGACTACATCGACACCTCATAAACGCGATCAAATCGCACTTTGAAAGATCCATTGCCCTGGCAGCAGGATATTTTCTAATTCAGATCTGACAATCTAAAATGCCCCTTCGATTTTTTGTGATTTGAAGGACTTCGTCTCGACGGGTATGTCATGTCACTCATGCTTTCCCCTCAGCAGGCAAGGTGATCGAGTTTCTATCGCTACGCATTCAATGAGTTCAGAGACGTGTTATTTATCATGTTTCCAAAATATCGAGAATTAGATGTAAACAAATTATTTTTCATTGCGGCATGTAATTGTGCTGCACTGAAGAATGTAAATGATAGATCGAAATAAATTTCCATGAAAGAATCATCATAAGATAATTGTTACCAGTACTACCTATGTATGTCTTTGTATTGCAATATCATGTCTTATATCACATACGAGATCTTTAAGAAAAAATTAGTATACAGTGTGAAGTGTGAAGTGTGAAGTGTGAAGTATAAATTAATAAATGTGAAGGGTGAAGGGTGAAATAGGACATGTGAAGTCTGAAGTGTGAAATATGACGTGGCTGATCTTGAGGCTCTCTCTCCGCTCTGTTTGGAAGATGATCCGTGATCATTCATACTGTAACCCCCCGCCCCGCCGCTTGCTCGCTGTCAACCAGTCACATTCCGAGTTTGCATCAACACCCGTTCTTACAATCCAATGTTGTTCTCCATGAGAACAACTTCAACAATGACCAAATATGAAGAAGACTATACTTCTTTGCTTTATTCACGGGTAAGAAAGACTTCTCGGCATTCCTCTTAATATTGCACAGACTAATCCTCGAGCCAGCTTTAAAGGAGGAGATGATACTTTTGGATCCTTTCCTGAACATCTTCGCGCTCTCGTAAGCCATGGCCTCCCAAAAGTGAAAGTTCGCGCAATCACATATCCTCAATACGAAACTCGAGGAGATCTGGGTGAATGTGTGAGCAGATTCAGAGATTGGTATTGTTACCCCTTGAATTAATTTTGACACCTAAAGCTAATCGATGTTGCACAGGCTTCAAGAAAAGGTAATCGATATCGAAGTCCAAAATGGAACACCTTCTCCAACCGTCGACCCTTCTGTCCGCACGATACTTATTGGTCATTCTATGGGAGGAATCGTCGCTGCTGATACAGCACTGGCAATCACATCCGATAAGGTGATAGATTCGAAAGAAACTACAGATGCAATAAATGCTTTCATGTTCCCATATATTCAGGGCGTTCTTGCATTCGATACTCCTTACTTAGGCATATCACCAGGTGTAGTTGCGCACGGTGCTGAAGGTCATTACAATGCAGCTACATCGGCTTTCGCGCAAGTGAGTAGTCTGGCAGGTGCACTATGGGGCGAAAAGGAGGTAGACAAAACAGTAGAGGAAAAGAAACCAGTCGCGGCATTACCGGCACCACCGCCTCCAGAAGCACCTGCCTGGAAGAAATGGGGAACGTTAGCGATATATGCTGGAGCAGCAGGCGCTATTGCTGCTGGAGGTGCAGCTGCGTACTTCAAAAAGGATCAAATTCAGGAAGGGTGGTCATGGGTAGGATCACATCTTGAGTTCGTGGGATGCCTAATGAAAGGCGAAGAATTGAAGAAGAGGGTAGCTGGAATGGTTACTTTACGGAAAGAATTAGAGGTCGGTTGGGCAAATTTGTATACAAGGTTGGGCAAAGAGGCAGTAAGCAAAGCTGATGGGAGTTTGGTGGGGAGTGTCATTGGAAATCAGAGGACATTCTGCAACCTACCAAAAACTAGCGCCAAGGATTTCTTTCGAGAGGCCATCAATGATAAGGCCGCTGATGAGACAAGTGCGCATATGAGTAAGTTTCCACGAAGATTTGAAGATTTAGGGGCTAATAATCTCCCAGCTATGTTCTTTCCGAAAGAAAATCCAGGATATTATACTTTATCTGAGGATGCGAAGAAACTGATAGTGGAGTGGTCGACTAATGAGTGGTACGAATCAAGTACAAGAGAACGCTCTACACCCACAAGAGAGCGTTCTACAAGCACACGAGAACGTTCTACGCCCACAAGAGAACGTTCTATTAGCACAAGAGAACACTCTGCAAGTGCAAGAGAACGCCCTACACCCACAAGAGAACGCTCCTCAATCACAAGAGATCCTTCTACAAATACAAAAGAACGCCCTGCAATCACAAGAGAACGCTCATCAATCACAAGAGAGCCTTCTACAAATACAAAAGAACGCCCTACAATCACAAGAGAACGTTCCACTAAGGTCGAGCACGAATTACGATAATAGCAATATGTTTGGAGTTTTATTTTGAACGAAAACGAGAGAGCTGGCGTTGTTGGATGAAGGGTGCATGGACGGCAAATAGACAGATTAAGTCGGGTACCCGACTTTCTGACCACCCCTCTTTTGGGCCACTCATTTACACCAAAAATCGCTTTTTTAGCTTATTAATAACTTTTTTATTTATGAATAGAATTTATTGAAAATTTATATATATATAATTCAGATCATCTTAAGCTCATTCTGAAAATTTCAAAAAAATAATTAATTTCTTTTTATTAATTATGATTAAAAAGTTATTAAAGATTTTTTAAAAAAAAAGTAAAATTTATATATGATTCTCATATAAATTAAAAGATCGATATTTTAAAGCTTCAGATCTCCCCTCAGAAAAATCCTAAAAATCTAAAATATTCAGAATAAGCTTAGAATGATCTGAATTATATATAACTATATAAATTTTCAATAAATTCTATTCATAAATAAAAAAAGTTATTAATAAGCTAAAAAAGCGAGTTTTGATGTAAATGAGTGGCTCAAAAGAGGAGTCGCTAGAAAGTAGAGTACCCGACTTACCAGATCAATATAGAAGGATTGCACCTGCCTTTTCACAATGGATTAAAACTCATGCAATATATATTCTCAAAGTATCATGACTCGACTTTGTTGTGCACTGTCACTAGATTACATCATTATCCCACCTATTGCGGGGTTGAAGGGTGTTTGCATCCGTGATTGTCGGAAAAAGCTTTTGAGATCAAATGGTCCACCATACATGGGCCGCTAGGCTTATTAGTTTGTGTATATTCTGTGAACACACGCTGTGTTTAATGGGATATTATCCTTGGCCCGTCATGATTAATGCATCAAAACTCTCACGGTCGATAATATGATCTCCGCATATACAACGAGAACTAATTCCAGTCTAAGGTTCCAAGTGACATTGATGCTTGCGATTTTGCAAACGGGATTGTCTCCTTCATGGGAATTCATTATTACACGTAGGTGAGTAGATGTCCGTCTGAACAGTGAGCTCTCAGCGCAAATTTAAAAGTTGAAGAGCGCCAAGTGATTTTTAATTAATTCTTTTGATTTCGATTATTCCGGAGTATAATTCTATTTACGGCGTATCTCGCATTTGCTTATTTCGTTATTCATATCATATCCCATCCATAATTTACAACAAGAAAGCAGCGAAACTTGCAATACCAATACTTCCAACCCACATTAAGGATCCCATAGCACCACAGGCCACGGGTGCGACAGTCAAAGCTCCAGCCGCGCTGGAACTGGTTGCAGCAGCTGTGCCCGAGGATCCACTCGCGGAGGCGGTTGCAGTCGCGGAAGCTGGGAGGCTGGAAAGAGCTGCATCAGCAGCGTAGCTTGCCGATACACCGGTTGCGTTCTTGCATGAAGTAGGAGCAGCGGTTGCCGATCCGGTAACAAAAGATACGGCGGCGCATTGGTAGAGAAGTCCTGGAGAAAGATACACAGTCAGTTTATGCGAGAGATTGGAGATCTGGGGATTGGCTAGAGGAGTGCGCATACCATCTGGACCATCAGCGACAACATTTATGACACCTTTGCTTCCAGCAAATGTGGATGGAACAGTGATTGTTGGCTCGCAGAAAGCACCGAGACCAGTTTGTTGGACGGATGGGATAAGGTCTGTCCAATTGGCTGCAGCGGTATCATTTCCAAGCATAGCTCTGAACAACCATGTTGTAGTTGGGTGGGTAGAGGTCCTATTTTCAGTCATGTTAGAATTGGTCTTGATATATAGTATTCAACTGTTTGGGTTGACTAACATTGCAATTGAATCTCCATCTACATGGAAGTCGGTAACATTGTTGTCAAACCCAACGGTAAAGCCACCACAGGGAGCAGATCCTTCTGCATCATCGTCGAAACCATCTGAAGGAATGTTAGCTTTATTTTTCTCTTGTGCAGTCAACGTTCGAACTTAGGAAGCTTACAGGTTGGAGGGTAGTTCAAGAGAAAGTGCGCAGAGCATTGGGAGACGACGGTAGCAAGACCGAGAAGAGCTGTTAGACGTGCCATTGTGTGAAGGTTCTCTTTGTTGATAATGGAGGACTTGGGATTGTTCGAAGGACGTAGAAGTAAGAAATGGAGTTCTTTGAGGCTCCCCCAAAGAAAAAGATAACAAATTGAAAGCTTAAATTCACAAATTGACCTAGATTCCTGGGGGTGAGCAAGTTATTTAATCTTCTTTCGAATACCCTGTTGGATATCCAGAAAAAGTGCTCACATTCCGTATCGAGCCATTATGTTTGCAAGAGCCTAGAGGATCATGCTCGGGCCATGTCCAAGGAATAAATAATATCTTGCTCATCTTTCTATTTTATTTTATTTGAATGGACCCCTTGCCAAGAAGAGGTAGAAACTGGGCATCCATGGATACCTAGGTAGGTAGGTATGTATGTACTATGTACGGTATGTGGCTAAAAAGAGGCAAGATACCTACGAAGTAGTATAACTACTAGGTATCTAATCTATCTATCCATCGACCCGCGAGTATGTATGCCACTAATAACCCGTATTCGAATGCCGGATAGAACGATTTCTCCGGGTGCTTACTTCCTAATTCTTTCTCATGTTTCGGATGGTTTCTGATGTTCCTCTACGTGTTCGGCCCAGTAGGGATTCTTTGCATCAGACATCAGAGAGTTGGAGACACTATAATAAGGCACAGTTACATAGATAGTCTCGTATCTTGCTCATGGTCTCTCTATGCTCACTCGAACTATGCTGCTTGCTCAACAATGAAATCTTTCTTACCCAAGTCGCGGGAGCAGCATATAACCTTATTGGCCGTTTTCTAAAGCTTATCGTATCGTAAACTCTCAAGATTTATGCCCCTCCTTCCCATTCACGCCATCCTCATCCTCCCTCATCCTCTCTTTCACTTCACGAACCCGAATCCCCATAAAATTACAACTCACGAGTCACAACCTCGGAAAGGGTTTCACTACCCCAATATCCCATCCAACATGCAAAGATCATTGGTTGAGCAAGTTTTCTGCTTCCTTCCTCATACACTCTATCGACACAATCCAAAGTGGTCCGTCCCTTCTTCAATGAGCAAAAATACGGTAAACGAGCGCAATTGAGCACATTTCAAGCCACTTGGCAAGGATCATAGCCGAGTTTAGTCGCTTGGCAAACACATGTTTTGCTCTTCTGCTGAACTTATTATTTGATTTAGATTTGGCTTCTTGATTTTGAATGACGGTGAAAGCTTGACTGGATCTTCTTCTTTGGTATATTTAATGAAGATTTTATCCTGAGAAATTGGGGGTTGCTGTGATTAATTGATACCGGCAGTGAGGGAAGGCAAGATTTGTGACTTTTGTGCATAGTTGCATTATAATTCAACAAACGAGGCGTCTTATCGATCAAAGAAAGAAGAGCAGAATTACAACATCCAGGATTGGTTGATAGCGAAAACGATTGTCGGGAACATCGAAATTTATCGAAGTGATCCGGGCTTTCAGATCCGATTGCGATAAGTGGGGAAATCATTTATCAACATATTCTCGTCTTGCCTCATCATTTGGAAAGGGAAGAGGCCGACTTTATTCAAGGAGATTATTTCCGCTGGTTCGGAGGCCGGGAAGGCTGCGACGTTGAAGAAGGAGAGGAAGATCAGAAGATCACGTACGACTTTACGATTCTTTCTGGAGGAGGCCGACATATCTAGGCCAAGATGGACGCACTTATGAGTGGGATGAGTGGCGGAATAGATATGGGTTCGAATATGATGTTTAGACCTTATAATCAGAAGTTGGCGTTGGGATATTGGTATATCATTGCCGGGTTTGTGGGTGCGGTGTTGTTGTGTAGGGGGTTTGAGAGGTGGAGGGATTGGGATAGGTTAGTGGATTTTCTTCTTCTTCTTCTTCTTCTTCTTCTTTGGAGTTGTGGGAGGGGCTCGTTTTTGGTGATTTGAGGAAATGATTGCGGGTGTCTCTTGTTTGGAAACTCGACCTGGGAGATGGATGGATCATCTTTTTCCGTTATGATGGGAGGGATGTGGGTATTCAGAGGGTTATAGAGTATCCACATCCCAAACGACCTCGCGCCGAAGGGAATCATGAAAGCGCATTGGAAAATGTTCCAGAGCATGGGCAAAAAGAGTGACCAGAAAAGATTATAGATCGCTAACATATCCCAACAGACTTCGGAGAAGCAAAATAATTTCTCTAAAATATCCCACCAAACCGAGTAACCGAATCCAAGAGATATACGCAACAGCCACAGCCATTTTTCGAGAATCATCATATCCTCAAATTCATATTTCAACTCCTTATCTCTCATGGTTATCTCCTCCCTCGTCAGGCCGCACTATTCTTCTTCTTTGCTACTGGGCAATCTTGATCTTCATGATGACATACGATGTCGCAATAAAAGATGCCTACTATTATGAACGCATTGGATTTCGGGGCGCCTGGATTTCAGTTACGCAAGTTCCGCTTATCTATCTACTCTCTTCCAAGTCGAATATCATTGGAGCCTTGATTGGAAGTTCTCATGAAAGATTGAACTGGTTTCATCGTTGGGTTTCGAGGACCTTACTCCTCACTGTCACGGTTCATGGTGCCTTCTTCTTTCGGGAATGGGTTCGAGCAGACTTTGTTTCCTTTGAGCTTAAACTTATGCCAATGGTAAAGTATGGAATGGGCGCATGGGGTATATTGCTTTGGACCTTCTTAAGCTCCTTGAGTCCTTTGAGAAGGATGGCTTATGAAGTTTTCGTGTTGCAACATATTGCTTGCGCGGCAGTATTTTTGTGGCTGCTGTACATTCACGTACCTGAGTATGCTAGGTATAATGTATGGTTTGCTGTGGCGGCCATGTCATTTGACTGGGTTCTTAGAGGCATCCTACTTGTTGTCAGAAATTTCAGAGTGAAGGTTGTCGGAGCAGCTTGCAGAGGAATGCAAAGGGTTGGCCATCAAGCGGAGTTACAGGCTTTGGCTGATGATATAACCATAATCAGCATCAAGGACGCGCCATTCACATGGAAAGCAGGTCAACATATGTATCTGTGGCTTCCAAGGCTCGGTCCACTTGAGACTCATCCCTTTACTATCGCGAGTCCGTATCAGACATCGAACAAGTGTCATTGCAATGAAATTCAACTTGCGATCAGAGCTCAAAAAGGATTTTCGAGAAGAATACACAATTATGCATCGAAAATGCAGAGTCTCGATAAGACTGCTATTTTGACCGCATTTGTGTCTGGTCCTTACGGTATACCTCCAGTATGTGCATTGTTCTCTCCGTTAAAAATCCAATGGTTCCACACTAACTTTACTTACAGAACTGGAGCTCTTATGAGACTATTCTGCTGATCTCTGCTTCCACTGGCGCATCTTACACCCTCCCCATCCTGGAATCTATCCTCCATAATCCCGCACCAACATGTGTGCAGCGAATTCAGTTCCTTCTTGTGGTCCGCGAGCGTAGCCACATCAACTTTTATACGAAACGGCTAGGAAGCGCGCTCGCTCTTGCGGACAACAAGGGTATTCAATTAATTGTGAAAATTGCCGTCACTGACAACGATAGCGCATCAATGACTAGCTCAAAGGTCGAAGAGGGAAGATCAGGATATCAATTAAGTGACGAGGATAAAGAAGACGATACAAACAGTAAATCCATTGCATCTAGCTTATCATCAGAGGCAGGAGGATGCTGCTGCAATCCGCGATCCAGTGGAACGGCAAACGACGACGAAATCTCCATACGAAGTTCCAAACGTCAATCATATAATGATGAAAAGAATTCGGATAAAACAGAATCCTTCGTCACCACCCAACAAATATCTCGCGTTTCTGGAGACTCTCCTCAACCTGGTGTTGGTTGTTGCTGTGCCAAAAAACCGGAGGTGAAATCAAGCGAAAGATCAAGGAGGGGAGAAAGAGATATAATATATGTGAATGGAAGACCAGACATTAGTCAATTTATCAGAGGGCCAATAGAGGTCACGGGAGGAGAAACTGCCATAACAGTTTGTGGAGGAAAGAGTTTGGTGGCTAAGGTTAGGAATTCAACAGCCAAGTTGAGTGATGAGAGGGCAGTGCATAAAGGAACTGGGGCGAATGGAATTTTCTTGCATGTGGAAGAGTATTGTTTTTGAGCGAATTTAGATATCCAACACCTATATATCGATGTTTTTCCCAATTTGATCGAAATCTTTGAACCGGTTCTTGTCCGTGTCGCGCCCATCTATGATACCATTCCTGTTAGATGTTTCCTCCCTCAAACCTTCACTCAAAACTAAAAATTCACCACAACGCCTGCGAATGATCGTGTCTCGCGGTCACGTGATCGACATTTCTTGCTCACTTTTTCCCATCAAGTCTAGAGCTTGTCCTACCCCAAGCTCCACTATGTCAGCATGCTGTTGGTGATGTTTCTATCACATTTCACCGGATACAAATGCCAAGCAAATTTTCAACCATTATTTCCCATCCGAGTAATACTGGAGAGAGATCTATGCAGTATACGACTCATAATTTTCAGGGGGTAAGCTGAGGAACCATTTGACGTAAGATCTTACAATGAGTCTAAATGAGTATGATGATGCGCCAATCCCTGACTGCACATCACAACATGATTTGTTCATGCAAGGTAACATTCCTTCCTTCCCTCGGTGAGAATATAAAACCCGGTGCCGATTTGAACAAAATGGGTTGGCTTACTTGGCGCTAACCTCACTTGATTTATAACATGAAATATTTACCTCTTCCACTATCATCTGTGAGTAGACCATATTGCGCAAGTATTTGTCGGCTTCTTGGAGATATCATACCGCAAGAACCGTATGATATGAATGCACATCAAAATGTCAACCACACCTAGCGATCATATTCCGCTGTCTAGAAACCATCTCTGGGGCCCAGAACGACGACGTCTTTCTGCGCATCTCATTCAGAAGGCTCTTGATGCACTCCCTGGCTCTCGTTCCTCGGAACACTTACCAAGTAAACCATACAAGGCGATCAAGAGACCGTATGAGCAACATAGGTATACGGGAAAGGCGAGTAGGTCTTACGTGCCTCCGGCGCCTGTCAGCGAGAGAACGAAGAGAAAGGACAGACCGCTGACACCAAGTGAGGGTTATGGATTGGGAGTCTTTGGGATGGGATTTGAGATTGGTGGAGATGGGGTGGAAGATGTGGAGAGGAAATTCTTTGCTCAAGGGGGAAGTACATTTTTTGGAATGTTGCCGTCTGAGGTGAGGATGGAAATTTATAAGCAGGTACTTGGAGGGAAGGTACTACATATCGTAAGAAGGAAGAATAAGTTGGGTCATGTTGTTTGTAAACGTGATAGAAGAGACTCAGATATAGGGACGAAAGAGGAGGATGCGTGTATCGTTGCGGGGTGTAGGGGCGTGAAGATACCTGGCGGGAGTGGGGTGCATGAGAGAATTGGGGAGGGGAGCGGAGGTTTGATTCAGTTACTACAGGCTTGTAGACGAATGTATGTTCATATTTTATGTATATCTCAAATTTCCCTTCTATCTCCTGATATCATCTCTCCCCTCACTTCGATCAAACATCTGATTTTCATTGAAAGATTGAAGCAAAACCTAAAGCTAACACACGTAGCTACTCAGAGGCAATTTTGCTTCTCTACTCAACCAACACCTTCAATTTCGACAGCATGGAATCCTTCATCTCTTTCAGTAATGAGATCCTTCCCCGTCGCTTTGATTCCATTACTTCCGTCACCCTCGATTTCTCCTTTGATACATCATCCCGTAAGCACAATCAATCATACTTATTCAAACTTTCTAATCTCTTCAAGTATCAGCATCTCTGGCCCCTTTCCTTCCACTTCCCCGCCCATCATTGTCTGAAATTTCCCCCCTCCCCCTTCTACCCTTACATCTGTACATTCCCAACAGCTGGCTAACCTTCTCCACCACGCAGTCTATAACGAATCCTCCTCCAACGACGTACCCCGCTGGGAGCGTACATGGATGATATTGGGGTCCATGAAATCGCTTAAAAGTCTCAAAGCAACAATCATCTGGCCCAGGAAAATACCAGCTTGGAGTCACGAATTGAGGTTATTGGAACCTTTGAATATGGTAGGGATACTGGGTAAGGATGCGAATGGTGGTAAGGGCAAGGGTAAAGGTGGTGAGCACAAGCCTGAAAATAAAGATGGGTTTGAGGTGAGACTGAGGGAGTTGTCGAAAGAGGCACAGGGGAGGGGGAAGGCGAGGGCTTATGAGGTCGGAAAGGGCTTTGTGGTTGGGTGAGTTCTTCCATTTTCGTTTGTAGATGATTGCTGACTATGATGGTGTAGAAATGCGAAGATTGTACCAGCAGCGGGGCTGGATGAAATGACCGAAGAGGACTTGCCGTTTAAAGTTGTGAGGATGAAGTTGTGAGAGCAGAGAATTCAATGTAGAGCCTATATCCTTGGAGTATCTACTATGGGATGAAGGTGGCACAGAAATAAAAAGTACGGAGTTGTGCGTCAACATGAATGGATTTCTTGCATCTATGATTCTAGTTTGTATATCTTCTAAGAGTTTAGCGATGATGATGATGATGATGATGATGATGATGATGATTAAGATCATGGCCAGCTGGGAGACTTGAGGTCAAGTCAAAAGTCGTTACATGTTCACCCTTCCTGAATCTAGATACCTCCTCGAATAGTTAGGATGATATACAGCGCAGGTCAACAATTAATGAGACTACCTAAGGCGCAGCAATGGAGTTCAACAAATTCAAATTGGCAATTGTATCAGAGGCTTCTGGCTCTGAGAATTCACTTCCATTTACCTCACTCTTGAGCTTCAACTGACCAATTAAAAAATTTAGATGGAGGGAGATAGTGAATCTTGAAATGATGCCACAGTAACAGAGTTTTCAAGGGAATTTTCACGCGTAAATATTTCCCATTGGATATTCCCATCAACAAACCTCCCACAACCTTTTTCCTAAAACTTTACAACACAAAAAATCAAGACCGATTGATCCAAAAAAATTGGAATTCTCTCTCTTTCCTCTGGAAAGCGGATTTTCTTCCTTCTTCTTTTGATTGATACATCATTTCACCGTTGCTTTCTCACTAGCTTTGCATTCATCAATTTTCAAGTTGCTCTTTCCCGATACAATCAGAAGCGCACACACTTTTCAGTGGCTTCTGCTTTTACTTCAATTCAGTTTCTCCGACTGGTTCTTTCCTCTTTCTTTTTCAAGATGGACGGATCCAGAAAACTCAAACCCACGGTGGAAAACACCGACCCTTACCAATTGGAGATGCAACTTCTTGCTCAAGAATACAATGAGCGCGAAGTCAATTCCAGAGGCAGTCTCATTGACTTGGCAGATCAAGCTAATCTACAAGAACACAATGTCGCAGTCGCAGCTTTGGAAGATCGAAAGCGTCGTGCTAAGGCCACTCTTGATTCAGATCATAATACAGAAATCGAATTCATCAATAATCAATATGTGGAAAAGTCGCAAAAACTCGAGGCAGATTATACCAAGGAGCGAGAAGATCTGGACATGGAATTGCTCAAGAAGAGTGGTAAATCTTACGAGACACTTCAAGAGTTGCATGCTAAAAATCTTTTGCAAATTCAAGTGTTCGAACAAAAAGCCGTGGATATCTTGAAGAAAATGTCGAAGAGCGTGAAGGAAGAAAATACCACCTATACAATGGGTTCTAGTCTTGCAATCTCTGTTGCAGCAACTGGTGCTGCTGTCAATGCCCCACCTACCAGTTCCGCTAGTGCATCGACGATGTCTTTGGGTCGAACTGAGAGAGTAATTCAGGATCAATATCTTGTGGCTAGCCCAGATGACGATGAATCACTTTTCGTGGATTATCCAGAGTTTGAGCCCAGAGTTCCTCCATCGATGAGAGCTTCATTGGCTTCTCATGATATGACTGCAAGCCTTGGGTTCAGCCCATCTTCAAATGATGATCACTCGATTAAGCGTCAAAAGACCAAGGAATTGTCAGCTACCTCGATCAAGAGGGAAACAAGTCCTTCAATGAACGATGCATCCTATGTTCAAGACCTTTTGAGCATGCATGTTCCAACACAATCGCTCAGCATGGCCTCTAGCGAGCGCGAGCCTGGTGGTTCTCATGCTCAGTCCTACTTCCCCTCTACGACGATCGCAGGCCGAGATTGTGACCCTAGCAAGGAGAACGATACAATCATTCAGAATGGCTCCATATCACGACTTTCAGGTTCTACTAGATTTCAACCAGCTCATGCGCAGCAACCTTTGGTTAATAGCCCCACATTGGACGTTTCTAGCGGCCTCCCTGCTCCTGCACAAATCGCACGTCGAGGTTACTTGTCGTCACAAATCCGCAGTCCTCTCATCAACGCTCCCAGAAGAGCGTTTTCGAACGCTGGACTCACCAACAATGCCTCGAGCATTGGAGAGAGACAACGCACCGATTACCGCCACGGCCAAACGATCACTCCATTGAAGCGCAAGGCTTCTGACGTCAATTTGAGTGATCTTTACGATGAGATGGAGACTTCGAAGGCTGGAGCCCCGACTCAAATTCAGCAAAAGGCTGAGGAGATATCGAGAGTCCAAGAAGTACGCCGAAGCGCAATCAATGCTTCAAGTGCTAGTGGTGCGAGTAGGAACTGGATTGGCCAAACCCCCGAATTCGGTCGGCAGGAGGCTGTCAAGGAGGAGCCAACTTCAGCAGTGACCGGTATGGCTCGATCTATCAACGCAGAGCCAGCACACACGACAAGTCACGCCCATCAACCTAGTAATGGAGAGGCAATACAATCAAGAGTCTTGACTCCAAGACATAGTAATGTAGGCTCATCGCGAACAACAACCACTGGCACTAGATCCTTCAGCTCAGGGTCATCTCGACCAGTAGCTATTACCCACAAGCTTAGCATTGCAGAGATTCGACTATCCTTTGATGATATTCCTATCGAGTATATTTCTTATGATGCTGGCGCTCCCTCCCGCTCCTTCCCTGTTACTTGGTCTGGCAAGAAAGGTAGTCACAACTCCAGGCAACAAGTCAGTCATAACTTTAGGCTACAAGTGATGCTCACGAAAAATAAGGTCTTGCACCCCTATGATGGCACTGATGACAAATCCTCACAGTATCCCAAGTTGGTGGTCGATGATTCTTGGGTTCTTGGTGGCTTCTATCACAAAGAGTCGCGCAACTACAGAATCGAGATTTATAGGCCGAGATCGAAGAATGAGTATAGGGTGGAATTTGAGGAAGGTCATGACCGTGTCGAGATTCAGAGCGCGAGGTTGAGAATTGGATTTGCCGAGGAAATAGAACTTGATCACTTTCTTGAGTGGTATAAAAAGATGCACCCTGGTGCTAAAATTCGTTCTGAGTATGTCTTTCATGAAACCGTCGATCGTTCTTTTCTTGCGACCTTCAGCTAACTATCTTCCTAGTGATCGCCTTGGCTCCCTCCGTACATTCCATGACGAGAGCGGTAAATCCGACCCGGCATTGAGAAAAAGTGAGCACACATCCTTTGGAATGGTTCTGATATTCAAGACAAGAAACTAAAACAAGCACAGAGATCGAAGGCAGAGCTCAAAGATTGGCACTTGTCGCACCTGTTGCAGTCATGACTTAGGCTTGATCGATCGATTTTATCAGTTTCTCCCTGGCAAAGATAAAAAAAAAATTACAACAAAAGCCGCCGAGAGAAATTTGTACGATTATAATGAAGTCAATGTCTGACTAGCTAACTCAGCATCAACTGAGATAAATATACCTTGTGTATCACCAAGCGGAAGCGAACCACCGACAAAAAACGACCAAAAAAAACCCCAAAAAGTTCAAACCCCCCAAAAAAGAAATCTCTCCTTGACGAATAACAAATACCTGATACCTACGAATGATGAATTTATGAGCTTACGATGTATGAACATGAGCATTTCATTCACGGTAACGCAGCGGAGCATTTTGTAAGATTACATACATGAGAAATATTGGGAGAATGACGGAGATTTGTCCTCAATATTTATGACGGTGTTGGAGACCCATTTTGGCCTGGATTCCAAAAAGTTGCAATGTTGATGCAGAGGGCGATTTGATGACAATCATCTTGCACTTGCAAAGATGTTGCGATTTCAGAGGGCTGGAAAAAGTTGATGACAAGTTGCAGAAAATGGTTGAAAACGAGAAGAGAAAAAAATTGGTGAGGTAAAGAGAGAGCAGTTCTGTCAGAGTAAATGTAGTTTTTTTTTTACACCTTTGTCTTTTGACAACTTTGACCTTGGGTCAACTTTGACCTTGATACAAGGTCAAAGTATTGCTATGTGATGTTGACTCTTCGCCCTTGTCTCGAGATGTGTATACTTGAATTTGCAATTTGACATTTCAACATTTGATTTCAACTCTGGTTGACCTCGGACGAGCAAGCAGAATGTTCTTTCATTCAACTAGAATGGTATGTGCTCTGTGACTAGTGTCACAAGACACGTCTAGGTATGCTATGTTCACTGATGTGGACCAATAATCTAAATTCTGATACTCATGGGGGAAGTAAACCTCCTTTCTCATTTTGAATTTCTTTGAATTCTTTCTCAATTCCCTCAAATACTGGTATATCTTTATCTATCTAAGCACCATCAACTTCAGATTTACAATTTACAAAAAACAGTTCCCACCTCTCCACTTCCATTCTGCACTAACGTACTTCTCTCTCTAACCCAAGCATTCAATCCCCTCCTTCCATTCTCAACACCTACTCCGCTCATTTTCCAACCGCCTACACTCATTTCCGCGGGACTTTCTCCCCATGTATTGATCCATGTGATACCAGCTTCTATCTGACCGATCACTTCATGACATTCATTTATATTCTTGCCAAAGACACCAGCTGCTAATCCTAGTTTTGTATCGTTGGCGCGACGGATAACTTCTTCTGTGGTGGAATATGGGAGGATGCAGAGAACTGGGCCAAAGATTTCTTCGCGGGTGATGAGCATGTCGTCTGTGCAATCTGTAAAGACTGTAGGACGAACCCAGAAACCTGATTCATGGCCACTTGGGATATTGGTTGGTTTTTCGGGACCACCGCAGAGGAGCTTTGCTTTATCATTTTCAATTCCGTGTTGAATATAGTTGAGAACTTTCTTGTGATGGATTTCTGAAACGAGAGGACCAAAGTTGCTGTTGGCGTCCATTGGTTCCAAAGCTCTAATGTATTCCATCTTTTCGATAAGACGTTTCTCGAATGCCGGTTTCATGCTTTCATGTACGAAAACTCGGGTTCCGTTTGTGCAGACTTGACCGGTGGAGTAGAAGTTGGCCATCATGGCTCCATCGACAGCATTTTCAAGGTCGGTATCTGGGAGGATAATGAGAGGACTTTTACCGCCCAACTCCATGGTCACATACTTCATACCGCCAGCTGCTGAAGCAGCAACCTTTTGTCCAGTGGAAACTTGACCTGTGAAACTTACTTTGGCAATACCTGGATGGGTGGTCAAGTATCCTCCGACTGATCCATCTCCATGTACGATGTTGAAGACTCCTGGTGGCACTCCAGCTTCTGCATAAACTTGTGCGAGGATTTGGCCATGTAATGGGGTTACTTCAGATGGTTTATAGACCATACAGTTTCCGGCTGCTAAGCAAGGTGCGGATTTCCACAAAGCGATTTGAATTGGATAGTTCCAAGCTCCAATGCCGGCACATACACCTAAAGCTTCCTTTTTGGTATATATCCATGCATCTGGTCTTAATTGTGTAGTTTCGCCATTCATTCCTCCACTTGCGACTAAATTTGCAAAATATTCTAGCACGTCTGCTCCGGTTACAACATCGACTGCGCTGGTTTCTGAATAAGCTTTGCCTGTATCGTGTGTTTCCACCTTGGCAATTTCATCGTTTCGTTCGCGAAGTATTTGAACGGCTTTGAGAAGGATTCGGGAGCGGACAATTGGTGGTGTCTGGGACCATGATGGGAATGCTTTGCGTGCCGAAGCTATCGCGGAATCGATATCTGATGAAGAAGCCTTTTGTACCTGTGCTAAAGGTTTTCCTGTTGCGGGGTTGACTGTTGTGAATGTTTCTTTGGAAGTTGCTTGTTGGACTTTGCCATCATAGTAAAGCGGTTGTTCTGCGTATGTAGACATTTTGAGAATAAGTTTTGATCATCAATCTTCTGCTGATACTCAATGACTTTCAATGCTCACTCACTCCTTTCACCAATGAAAACCTTAGGATGATCCTACACAATGATGTAAAGAAGGGAATGGGTCCTCGAAGCAAATAATTTCCTTCGTGGGGCAAAAGGAAAGCGTACACCCTTGATACCGGTATTCTTCGGTAGCTAAGAAGTAAATTCCTAGAATGGACTTGATTCAAACCTTTACGCCAATACTAATTGGTCATCGGGGGCCAGTGTGGAGAGTGAAAAAATGGATACGGTGAAAAATATCCAAGATGGAAAATGTCAAATATGGCGGAATGTCGGACCAGAAAGAGAATCGTTTGTCAGATACCGAGCGGAATACTGGATACGGGAAATCGCCTTCTTCTCGGGGGATTGCAGATGCAGCTGAGGCGATTCTATGTTATTGATGACCAGCCACCTTTACTCCGTATTCCGTAGATGGATCTAGATAGCGGGAGGGCTTGTGTACCTTTGGAGTTGGTGATGAGAAGGAGCAAGATCGGAAGTTACATGGCATTGATTGATGTGGATGATAAGTCAAGGGGATACGAAATCTCATGGTATCGGTATCGGTATCGATAAGACAAGACAAGACAAGACGAGGGGGTCACGGTAGCTAGTGTATCGTATAGAGTGACAGAGTTTGAGAGTTTACGTGGAGAGAGAGCTAGATAGATGGGCGAAGTTTGTTTTGACTGCTTGAAGTGAGATTATGTACGATGGATGTATGTATGGATGGATGTAGGGAAAACCTCACTTCATTTGGTAATGACGACAATGGACAAGGATCAGAATAACGGCTTGGCAATCTACAATAACTTAGATTGTAACAAATGGATGTCAATGTAAGTCATTATTGGTCAACATGTTGCAGTCCCCCAGAAAAGCTGATCAGATCTAAGCCTCATGTGGTCTAATGCAACAATACATCAAACAACATCAGAGCACCAGAAAAAAAGCTTTTTCTTTGAACATTATTCATTCATTCATTCATCCATCCATTCACTGACTTCCATCAGACATCAGACACCAGACATCAGACGTCGGGCACCATATACATCAGACCTCAGATTAGACCTTTTCTTTGTGCAGTATATGATTTCATTATGAGATGGTCCAGCTTGGTCGAGTAGGTATCTGCTATGGGACTCTGGCAAGAGTGTCTACGTGATGGTGATGATTAATGATAACCTTATATGATTTCCTAACATGTTGGAATCTCCTTCAACTGATCGACTGACGGACTGATCGACTGAGTTTTACTCTTCATATGTACGATTACTACGACATGATTCATTCATTGACTTTTTAATTTTACCACTGTTATTCAATTTAGTCCTTCGAACATCTTTGGTTATCACTGGATTGATGATCCTTGATAACTTTGGTAAAACTACCAGGTATTTCATAAAGGACTTTTGTTAAACATTCACTAGCTAGGAAGCTAGTTTCCTAAGGCTAGATAGATATCTTTTTCTCTCTCTTATTTTTAAACTAATTTTTTCTTCTCCTCCAATCTCTCTCACTAATAAATCTCATCTTGATTCGTCTTCACCGTCATTTCATAAGTTCAAATTATCCAAAAGACCACGCGCCCTCTTTCCCTACTTGGCAATTTTATCTATCATTTTACATCTTTGCATACCTGGCAGGCAATACTCAACCCCAGGGGGTCCGTCTTCGATCGTCCATATTCTCTTGCGATACCGCCTTATACGATTATCCCGAATAACCTCGATTTGGAATCCACTTCCAGCCCCTCCCTGACTAGGATATCATCAATCTCATTCCCTAGGTAGAAAAATCACCTGAGGGCGACCTGCTACACGTTGCTATTACAAATACGTTCATCGCTTCTTATTTAGATCTCGTTCTTCTGAAGAGAATAGAATAGAACAGAACCCTTTCCTTTTGGATATCCAACACTTATCAACCCAAGTCCAAGTATTCAAGATGACTACCGATCTTCTATCACCATCTCAAGTCAATGACTTTGACTATGTCATTGTTGGAGGGGGAACAGCAGGATGTGTTATTGCTAGCAGACTTTCCGAATACTTACCAAATAAGAAGATTCTTATGATTGAGGGTGGTCCAAGTGACTTCAATAATGATAAAGTATTGAAACTCAAAGAATGGCTTACATTACTTGGTGGAGAGTTGGATTATGACTACGGAACCACGGAACAACCAAATGGTGATTACGACTCGTCTCGGAGCAGTGGGAATTGATGCTGACAGGATATAGGAAATTCTTACATTAGACACTCACGTGCTAAGGTTCTTGGAGGTTGCTCTTCGCACAACACTCTGATATCTTTCCGTCCATTCGAGTATGATTGTCAAGTTTGGGAGAGTTTGGGATGTAAAGGATGGGGATTCAAGACCATGATGCGTCTCATTGATAACCTCCGCAACCAAACTAACCCTGTTCATCCACGTCACAGAAATCAAATTTGTAAGGATTGGGTCCAATCTTGCTCCACTGCCATGGACATTCCCATCATCCATGATTTCAACCACGAGATTCGTGAAAAGGGTGCTCTCGAACAGGGAGTTGGTTTCTTCTCAGTATCATATAACCCCGATGATGGACGAAGAAGTTCGGCTTCTGTCGCTTACATTCACCCAATTCTCCGCGGTGCCGAGAGTCGACCAAACTTGACTATCCTCACCAATGCCTGGGTCAGCAAACTTAACTTTGACTCCAACAAAACTGTCAAGAGCGTAAACGTAACCTTGAAATCCGGCGAGAAACTCACCGTCTCCCCTAAGACCGAAACCATCCTTTGTGCTGGCGCAGTCGATACCTGCCGTCTTATGCTCCTCTCTGGAGTTGGCCCTGCCCAACAACTCAAAGACCTTAACATCCCCGTCGTACACGACCTTCCAGGTGTAGGAGAGAACCTCATCGACCACCCCGAATCCATCATCATGTGGGAACTCAATGCCCCCGTTCCACCTCAAACTACCATGGACAGTGACGCCGGTATTTTCCTCCGTCGTGAACTCCCCAACGCCGCCAAGAACCACACCCACCCAGAACTCAACCCCAAAGGTCTCCCAGATGGCACCATTGCAGATATCATGATGCACTGCTACCAAATCCCCTTCTGTCTCAACACAGCTCGTCTAGGCTACGACGCCCCTCTCAATGCATTCTGCATGACCCCCAACATTCCCCGTCCCAGATCCCGAGGACGTATTTACCTCACCTCTTCCGATCCTTCCGTAAAACCCGCTCTCGATTTCCGCTACTTCACCGACCCTGAAGGCTACGACGCAGCCACTATTGTCGCCGGTCTCAAGGCCGCACGTGAAATCGCGAAGAAGGCACCTTTCTCAAACTGGCTTCTCCGTGAAGTAGCACCCGGCCCAGAAGTTCAAACTGATGAGCAACTTTCAGAATACGGAAGAAAGGTTGCTCACACCGTTTATCACCCAGCTGGAACTACCAAGATGGGTAGTGAGCAGGATAAGATGAGTGTATGTGATGAGAAACTAAAGGTCAGAGGTCTCAAGGGAGTGAGAGTCGCAGATGCCGGTGTTTTCCCAACGATGACCACTATCAATCCTATGTTGACGGTTTTGGCAATTGGAGAGAGAGCGGCGGAGATGATTGCACAGGAGGCTGGATGGAGGGGAATGGTGGAACCGAGGTTGTAGGTTTTAGTTGTAAAGAAAGAGGAGAGGCGAGAAAAAAGAAGAGCTGGAAATGTGCATAGGGATACGGATATGGATATTATTAGAGAGGGTAAATTTCAAATACATAGGAAAATGTATATGATTGGGTGGATGAGATGAATTTTTTGTTTTTGCACGCGAGCATATAATGCGTGGAGAGGAGTTAGTCGGGGTACTTGTATAGAAATACCTAAGAAAGAATGTTATGACAACCATCAATGTATATATTACATCTACACATACATCTCAGTACAAATGCCAGTGTGCGGATATTGGAGAGAAGTGAATGAACATGCACAGAATCAATTCTTTCAACTATGCGTTTCGATAATTCTCCCACCGCTCAGACTCAAGCTCGATCGATGCGAAGCTCAAGATCAATTCCAAGCAAGCCACCCCCACCCCCACCCCCACTCCCACATCCACTCCTCATAATAAACTCCCCTCCAACCTATCCAACATCTAGGACCGCGCAAAGCTCTCTCTTACCGAATGATTGACATTGCGAGATATCGCTTCATGTTGCATCTCCCCCAACCCCCTCTGAGAAGATACCTTTCTGGGGACCTACATACGTATATTACATAGCTACCAGTCAGTCATAACTCCAATTCCAACTTCAAATCCAATTCCAATCCCGAGTTGCAAGATGCGAGTGAATGAGACGAGATGAAGTTTGGGAGAATATATAGTGTATGTATCTAGGGATGTATGTATATTTGAGAATCATTGAGAATCGGGTCTAGTGTTCAGTTCTGCGTTGGTCTGGATCTGAATGAATGGATGAATGGATGAGATCATCATAGGAAAAGAAAAGAGCCGTGGCTGGGTAGGTATTTATTATAACATGGGAGATAATCATCACCTGGAAAGAATCCCTCAGACCTCCTAGGCTATATATAGATTTCTTTCACTCGCCAATACGTGCATGAAATCCGATATCGAACCACCGCAAGGAAAGACACAAAAAGGGAGCGAGACGCACTGTTTGAGATGAGAGCAGTATTCGCGGATAAGGCATTCATGTGTTATATTTGTATTTCGCTCTACAAGCTATCATCGCGTCCCTTCCCTACCCTCTACCAACCTCGGTTTCTTCGCTACCCATTCTCCCCCATGTCGAATCGATATACACCTCCCCCCCCCCCCCCCCCCCCCCCCCCTGCCCCCCAAACATATCCAACTTCTCATTCTCTCCTCCACATCCCTTCCAAAAGCTACTACGCATCCTCTTCAATTCGAAAACTAATAAACGCCTCGTTCCGCTCATTTCACATGCCGTGTCATTTTATTGACCATGAAGACGATTAAAACAGCCCTTGCTATCCGTAAGAGACCCATGGATTCATACAAAAACGCCCAATCAAATCAAACGCCTGTGCAAATTTAGAATCCCTTCGACCCTTCAGGTTTTGCTCGCGTGATGCAATAAAATGCAATATCGGCCCCAGGATTCCTATCCCATGCCATGCCACCCGCATCTATACTTCCTCCATTACATTCGGTTCTTGATTACTTCTCAAGTTTGCAACATGGCTTTTCAGTAGTTAAAGCCGCCATAGTTCGAGTTTCGAGGTTGATGACCGGGACTGTGTTGGTAGTCCATGTCTTGGTACACAGTAGTTCTTCGGTCATCTTCAAGGAGGTCCTTGACTTCCCAGTTGTTCTGCTTGATACCAACAGAAAATTCGAGATCTTCTTTAGTGATAGAGTCCCAGTACTATTTACGGTGTTAATAAATATAAAATGGGAAATTCACATATAGAACTAGGACTGACCTTGTAAATCATCATTACAGCTAGAAGATTTGCAATTGAAGCGAAGAATAATCCATCCAAATAGTGGCTAATAGCATTGCAAATGCTGGTACTGAAAGCGTAAAGAACAACTTGTCCTGCAGCGAAGAAGAAAAAGGCAAAACCGAGTTCACCCAATGGCCAACGATCCTGAAGAGTGTTCACAACAAGAATTACTTGCATAACACCGTAGATAGCTAACTCAATAGCAGAAAGTAAGTATAGCACGACGAAGAGTCCAACAGTTCGAGTGGGCCCAAGTCCTGCCCAGGACATGTAGGTAGCGAGGGAAATGAGGAACGTAAGGATGAACATGGCGGCACTGATTGAGCGAAGGAGCCAAACTGAAATGCGTGTTCCATCTTCATATAATTGGAATCCAACAAATCCATTAATCAATAAACAGACAGTAAGGGCAGATGTGAGACCATTCTGTACAGCCGAGAAGTATGGGTAAGGTCCAGTCCCAGGTGGGATAACACCAGCATCGAGAAGCAACGTAAAGAATGTGAGGAGCATATATATGTAGAAGAAAGTTGTGATTTCTTTTCGGCCTGAAAAATGTTTTGTTAGTTTCAATCATTTTACTCCCACTTCATTTTGAGATACACCCCGGCCTAACCTACCAACAGCAGTAAATTTACTCCTAACGTGTAATATCATAATAACCGTCATGATTAACGCGAGGATGTGTACGAAGCTTGCGGCTCCTTGAAATATGATCGTGTTGGCCAATTCAATATTGCGCGAATAACAAGTTGCCTCAATGCCATGACTTCCCGCGATTGTCGTTATCGCTCCGACCTCTGCACATAATGGAAGCGCTGCTTGTTCGCAGATCGAGTAAAAGTCCCCAAAGCCCATCGTGAATTATATTGTTGTCGTTCGACGTTTTTTAGAGATATTCTGAGGAGGTTGGAGGTCGAATGTTGTTGGGCGCGAGGAATGCCCGCGAACACGATGAAATGGTTCTCAACTATCTCAAAACTGCAGCAAGTGAATGTGGTGTAGCAAAGATAAAACTAGCGATCGTAATTGTATAGGTCGACGTTAATCTAGCAATATTTTTGATGAATTGCAAAGATTGTGAGTGTATGAATGATGGCGAGTCGTCGTTGCGACCAAGGGGGATGAAGAATGCACCAATAGCATTGATTAATTTTGGACATCTCGTATGTCCCCTGGCAACGAAACCACTCTTTCGACCGACCAAAAATAGAAACTTTTGGCCTTAGTCATGAGGTTAACAATAGCATGAAATCAAATGACATTCACGTGAGCACCATCACATTGAGAAAATTAGACATTCAGAGATTCTATCCATTACAATGTGTCCTTGATCATGGTCTTTTTGACATCAAGCTTGATAGGACACCGGTCAATATCAAACTTTGACGATATTGCCAGTAATACAACAAACCTACCATCGTTTCACCTCAAGTAGTACGCTCGTTGTGATAAGTCACGAATTACGATCCAAATCAAATGCGAATTCCCCGCTGGTCCAGCGTAATGTATAAGGATGAATTGGAAACTTGTCAGATCTAAAGACCATGGTGACACACATCGCATTTCCTGGATTGAACTGTCGGTATGCGGCAATCTCAACCACAATTCTCATAATCTTAGCCACAAGAACAATTTCACATTCGGTTTTCGGGATCATTTGTACAACGGGCGGTACGGGGCGTATGTTGCTTGACATACAACAGACTTTGGCTGGCCGGATGTTCCTCTGCAACCTACCCGTTCACACAAAACCATATACGAGGCTGGATATTTGATGGGCAATCGGCCTCTCTTTTCACAGAGTACCTGAGTTCCAATCGATGAGACCTTCCTGGGCACGCGCATATAATCATGACTCTTGCTGATGTGTTCATGGTGATGGTAAGACCCTTAGTCTTTCATTCATATAAGACATCGGCCTGATCGCTCAATGCGAGTTTGAATCTCGGGAGGTGGAAGATTATCACTTGGATAATTCATCTCATGAGGTGAGGCAACCCGGCTAAGATGGTGAAATATTGTTATGTGATATATGTGTGGAACATGGATTCTCAATCAAATGATCCAGGAGTGTTGGCGTCGATGGTTGGTAGACATGTGTTAATTGCAAATTCAAATTGCTGATGAATGGCTTATGAGGGATCCAGTTTTCAACCTGGAGATGTTACCTGATGTTGGGTGTGCGGCCTTTTGCATTGATTAGATGCAGTAGCGACAGGGGGTCCTTTGCACCGGAGGACATGCTGAACCTACCGAGCAAGCTTGTATTCCTTCCTTTGAGATCAGCCAACTTTCAAGGACAGCTTATCTGCATATGACCGGTGAGTTTGGTTGCAGTATTTGGAAAGCCCAGGTAGGTCTTAGCAGCAGAAAAAGACGGGAAATATAAATCTAGTTTGCCGTGTTGTTCGGTGGGGGGCTTGAAGGAGTAGCATGACAGACTGTTCAAGTGGTGGTGTAACGCTGAAAGGGAAAAGTTGGTTGATGAGTAGCCAGAAAGCAAGCACAGCCGGTAAAGAACACGAATGACTTGTCGTTTTTTTTTTCTTGCTAGTAATCATAAACACAACGGGCAAGCATCTCTGCATGCGACATCGAACAAGCTGACCGAGCAGATCGCCCATTTCTGCGGTTCTGTATCTTTACAATATTACGTGGGTATGATATTATAGTACAGCCACAAGATGCCATAATATGGGTTTAAGTGGCCGGTAGCTTAGCAGTCTTAGAATTGCGAGAATCAATTGCTAATTATGTCGTGGAATTTTGCCGGGTATCTGAGTGCATAATGTTCGAGTCCAAATTTCTTGTCGGCGTTGCCCAGCCTGGTCTAACATTATTGATACCGTATTCGAAACGATTCCATGTTGGAAATGGTGAGCATCTTATCCCATTGGTAGTATCCGCACCTAAGAAAGTGTATTGTGACAATTATCTTGGGTATGCCGAGGATTCTTTTCAGATAGTGTAGGATTGAAAAGGGGGGCAACTTTCGTAATCGTCGCATCCCAAAGTCTAGACATAAGGGGTGCTACCATGCAAAAGAACGATACCGTACGGTCCGTACCAAACAAATCTGTAGACCGAGTTGTAGACCGGGCGTACTTGTGTAGACTCGCATTTCGATGTGCCAATAATCATTCCAATAGGTAGCCAGTTAGCAGTCGATCGATAGTGTTGCAGGGCATACAAGATAGATTGAAACTTGATCATTATGGCTATACCAGGTTTGAGCGTACAAGGTAAAATGTGTACTCAAATGATATTGGTTTCTGTTTGCCTTTCACTTCCTTGAGCTTCCTTCCCACTTTCAACTTGCAAGCTGAAGGAAAGAAGAAACCGGAGCTTATCACGCTGGGGTGTGTATGAAAATGATCCCAGACAAGTGTTCAAAGATTCTAGAGATGTAAAATGCCAATCCCACTCTCCCCACGCTAAAACGAAAGAAACGAACGGTCTACGGCACTTGTGGTCACTCATCTGCAGTGAGCCATCCACAAAGCAAAAAAAAAAAAAAAAAAAAAAAAAGACTACACCATGATTGATTCGGTTGCAAATTTGAAGAGGACCAGCAACGGCAAGGTATTTTACCTAGATACTATAGCTTCTTTCGTATATATACCATACTATACAAAGTTGTCCCGGAAGATCTAATAGTTCTTCTCCCCAATAAGTTACAACCAGTTAAAACTTAATGGATGTCGAATTCTTCCTTCCCGTATGCAGCAAGTACTAGATTAGACAGATGCCGATTGTCCTATATTGCCTAGACCCTCTCGAGACCTCGGTGTTAATCACACATGGTGTAAAAGTCAATTTCAATTTTCAGGTGAGTAGTACATTCATTACTTCGTACATTACTGCGTGGACTCTAAAAAACTGGAGAATTGAGGTCTTTTTTCCACCCGTTGATGTGATTATATGACAATATCATAATGATGAAGATCCTTGGTGAAGTACCGAGTAGGACAAGTAAAGTTCTCAGGTCTCTTTCCCTATTAGCTAATATTTTAGAATCATTTATAAATTATCATGCCAGTCAAACCGAAACCCAAGGAATCAATCAATATCACTTGTAACTATTCATTATGTTATATTGTTCTATGAATGATTGATATCCAGGTGTGAAGTTTGAAGTTTGAACACGCTTTTCATTGGTGCACCTCCTAAAAGTACTGGCTAATAGTCATGGAGTAGGTCGTCTCGAGGTCGTCTAACAATTAACCTTACGAAGTATACAGTTATAGACTTACAACATGCTTTACCGTTGTTCCAAAAGACCCCCTCACCCCCTCCCCAACTACATTTAGATGTCCGTCAAGAGCCTTTTGGTCTGAGTTCCAAGATACGAACGTAAATGTCACTGTGATATCAATTTGGAACCTTAGAATGAAGTTCTGATGGTCTTACCACGCTCACTCTATTCGATAAATCAGCGTCACGCTTCTGATTCTATCCATAGGCGTCGCCAATCAATGCCCCAAATCATATCATTCCTTCAAATCCTCCCCTCCTTGTTTCTTGATCTCAAACTCCTTCTAAAATGGATGCGGTGGAATAACTATCCAACCTGCATGTTCTCAGAGAAGCATAGAAAGTATCCATCTGATCCAATCACACATATTCAAGAAGGAACTGGAAAGGCTGTGCCGCAGCCGGGTCCGGGCAAAGGTTCTTTTGAGTGTGCTCAAGACTTCAAGGTTCTCATTTCGATGTTACTGGATGCATCCTCTGAGCCTTCCCCCCACCACTTGAAGAAAGGCTTGAGGGTCGCATGAGCTGTAACGCGAATTGAGTGGAGCATTGGACCGCGGTTGACGATCAAATCATAAATTCAATTTACGATAACTTCGTACAGCGTGTGTTCCGAGAAAGAGTGAAAAACGGCACGCGCGGACATGTGCCTCTGAAGAGCAAGGACAAGTCAGACTAATTTACAAAGCTAGCACGTACAGGCAGGCAATGTGAAGCGGCGGTAGGTTACGGAGAAACATAGGAAACGGAACAGGAGTACAGCGATTGCTAGCTAAATGGAAATCTGCGTCGTCCTCGGTCCTCCTTCAACCCAACTTCCAAGGAATTTTCCAGGTGGAGGAATCCATGGAACATTGAATTGGAACCAAGAGGGTTACTCTATACTCTGACTCAGATTAATCATGGCGACACACACGCAAGAAGGTCTAAAAACAATTATCGGATCACCAACAAAACACGATTGTATGACACACTCTTTATTCATCGCAGCCACCTTTTTCCGCCCCCGCTCTGCAGACACAAAACAGGACCGGCCGGCGAGCAAGGAAGTAGTTGAACTGTTGAACACAACACTGGCAGTGGAATGAATCTGTTTATGCCTTCCGGTTTTGCCAAACCAGACCAGACCATATCCAACATCATCGAGCTCAACCTTCATCAACACATTACATAGCATATTATTCTTATGCACTTTGCCCCTTCATATCAATCATCCGCATACGGCATGTAGGATGTAAGTGCAGGAAGATAGTAAAGGAAAATAGCGGGTGGGTAGACGATGATATGCTCAGATGATGGATGGAGCATAGGTAGCAAGCAGGGTTACGATGCCAGCTAAATAAAGTAGGTGAATTTCATGTTAGGATGATGTATCCGAATCGCTATTCGTTTAGTATTTCATCCCACCTCATTCCTATCCTAAATTTGGGTGTACAAGTCAGTACTATCTCTAAATCAGGTCTTATTCGCCGCGTGAAGAATGAATTATGCATGTGAAGGGGGCGACGGCCCTCAATGCTAAAGGGAAAGCACCGTGTAAGGAGAATGTATATTGTACCGACATACGAATACGTACACAGATAATCATTGATGGAACGCAGAACAAATTGCAAATTGCTTGATACACTTCAAAGTCTATACCTAGGTGCTGTGTATTTTGTGAAGATCGATGTGTACTAGCCAAGCTAGGTTTTGCTTGGGCCCAACAAATGAACATTGCCCCTCCTCTTACCTCCCCACCATCTTCAAAATTCCATCTAATCATCGATCTAAATCCATTAAGCTTCTCTTTCACGTACAGCACTGAAGACATATATGTAGACCACGCGATTTGCGAGTCGCGTAAAGTGGAAAGAGCGGAATTCTTGAGCTCTTGTCAGGGGAGGGGGCGTTAAGTTTCTTCGATGATGGTGACCTGCACCTAAGTTCAAAATCTAGAAGCATTCAGCATTCAATCGTTAGCGAGCACGATACGAGAAAGGTTTCGATCATCAGCATCGTGTGTTAGCAAACTATTCACAAATTGCTATTTCCCCCTTTCCTTGTTACGTGTTTCTCCACAAACTTTGACGGTAGGGTTCTATCATCTATGGAAGCACCGCCCAACGGCTAAGTACGAAAGAAAAGAACCTAGGACCAACTGCTACGGTGGGTTGTGGGAACTGAATTTAGTAAATCGAGAATTCCAAGATTTCATTGATCATACCCTAAGCCAGGATCGACACCGATGGTTGTAATAATTTAGTTAATTTTGTCCATTCCATTCTCTGCCGGAAATTATTGGAATGGAATGGTGGATGAACCAACGGCTTAAACATTTGAAAGCTGCATTTCCCCTTGAGAGAGGAGTGTTTCGAACCAAGATCATCAGTTCAACTAATAAAAATGCAGCAAGCTACATATTCACTTTTTACTTTCTGGGGCGTGTGTATACTAATAAATGATTCTTATACATGGCTTGTATAGTAAGCAATACATATGATTGAGCGTCCGCATGTCGGTATACACCAGTCAATGCCCAGCTGACGAACCGGATGATATGGATCCAATCATTGGTGTGGGATTGAGTGACTAGATTGGTGAACGGGGGCGGCGCCCATCGGACTTGGGAAAAATCTGAGAAGTTCAGCCACAAAAAGTGTAAGTCTCTCCCAGAATCACGGGTCAATTTTGGGAAAATGTGCCGATGGATGATCATGGAAAAGTCTCATCTCCATTCGCACAGCCTGACTGATACAACACAGAAGAAGTCAGGCCATAGGTGGCCCCCCTGTAGGAGGGTACTTGCGGATCATGTTTGATATATTTGACTCAGTGACTGGTAGGATGTTAGGACCTTTGCTTATGCTACTGCCTCAGCAGGGCCTGCCTTGCTTACGTAGAGGGAAGGAAACCTTTCTCGATATCATTTTGGGGCAGGCGAGCAAAGGAAAAATGTGATGGTGCGAAAGAAGAAAAGAGAGATCCTAAATTTGACACCAATCATATGTGTGAGAAGCGGTGGAACCGTCAATATCTGCAGCCTGGAAGGCGGAAACGAATCCCTTCACCCCCTCATCGATGATATCGCATCGATTCGATTATTCAGGATCCCAAGCGTCGATGTCAATTGCATACAAAGTAAGTACATACGGAGTAGACGGTCTGCATTATTCCCTAGGAGGGGGCTTTGAAATTTGTATGGAGGAACGAACGAAGCGCTCTTGCTCACTTGGCCACTGAGGAGGAAAGCTTCGTAGCTTGAAAGTAATCCTATCCTGTTTATCCTAGAAACTCTTCATCTCCTTGGTCCATTCTTGCCGTGTTGTGCTTTCGTAGCGACGCTCTGAATATCGAAAATGGTAGGTTTGATTAGAACTACTCATAGTCAGATGGAACATAAAGCGTAACGCTAGGTGTCAACGAATGATTGTCAATAGTGGCACACTGCTGATACATGGACATCATTCCCAAACAATTACCAATCGAATTCAAGCAAAATCCTCATTTCCACTAATATTTTGATCAATTATGATCACTTATTTCATCCTTACACTCCACCCCTTCTTTTACTCCGTGTACGGTACTAACAGATTTAGACGACCTGGCACCATGTCATCTTCATAACATTCCCTTACATTTTTAATACTGCACAAGCACAAGTCTCATCTCAACGACCAATCACTATGGAGTATTCGCAGCACACGAATGGTAGTCAATGCTTCTGCATTACAGAGTGCTCTTACGCCGGGCTTCTAGCACTGCAACCGGCAAGGCTTTGATCATTCACACATCCGTATTGGCCATGGTACCGTCATATCACCAGTAGGGAAAACAGAGAGACTGGCGCGTACACATTGATAATCCTAGTTTGTCTTTCTGTTCTGGCCTTTCCCTTGCAAGACTGAAAAGGCAAGACTCTGACTTTCTACGTACGTGCCAGCAATATTCGATTTCTGCTGCACCGCTTTCCACTGTTCCACGCACTACGCTCCACCACAAAAGAAAGGCATCACCGTGAAAGTGCTGCAAACATCCCCGCTCCCTATCGTGTTGCCCAGGTGCCCTCGTCAGATTGGTAGCTCATGGATTATGTTTGCAGCACTCCTTGCCTGTAATTCGATGTCAATCAAATTTTATACAGCATCTTGTCTCTGTCAACGAGGCATGTACGTGTATTAGTGAATGAATGCTTCGGATCATTCGGTACTGTTTTCATTTACCTTCACGAGGAAGAATGTGCGCAAGTGAAATACGAAGCCCGAAGAAGTAATAATATATGGAGCTTAAATCAGCCCCCAATCTGTCGGTTGGAATTTTGGTCAATTTTATATAGATCAACTTATCAATTGACCAAATCGAAAGGGAAAAGGCCAGTTTGATAAAATGTCAATCCATTTCCATCCCATGAGCCAAGAGCTGCATATCTCCCCAGACACGAACAGAACACTAGGTCTGGACCCGACCACTTCTTTAGATATAATTCATTCAATATATGTTGCCACTTTAAAGTTAGGAAGCCGGCGTTGCTTGTAGCCAATCAAACAGGCCACCTCAGGTCGAGAAGAAGACCAAACATATGCGAGGCAATCAAGAGGCAATGATGCGGAGCAAAGAAGGAAGAGTAAAGAAGGCGTAACCGATACATTCTTCATCTGTGAGAGTGATTCAAAGACCGTCAGAGATTCAGAGCCAGCCTCAATGAACAATAATAGATTTAGATACATTTTTTGATATTCAGACCCTCCCTTCCACCCCCAAGTTCCAACCCATACAAATTTCATTATTCATTCCATCCATCGACCAAGAACGGGATTAGCTTTGCTTCTTTTTTTAATGATATATCACACCCACATATCTACACAGTGCACACCTACCTACATTCAAATTTCACAGACCGGTACACAAGTTCGCAACTGACTGGCCTTCGTTTCGCTTCTCCTTCCATTTTGAAAAGCTTGGAAAGTGGTTTTCTCACACAAACTCCTGCTCATGCTAACCCCATCCATCGATTTCATATCACATACACTTTTGATAGGTGGTCCTCTGTATCCCTGCACACAATCCCCGAAGTCCTAATTATCATCATCATTCTTATATAATCCTGGCTGATTGATTGCTTTTTTACACTTTTTTCTTTACATGGCACTAGCTGGGAGGCTAGCAGCCCTAGTACCAAGCCCTTTCTTTCCTAATGCGCATAGGTACTAGCGTGGTATGATTATTGTGTCTAACAGCCAGACTAATTTGGAATCTCTCGTAGGAAAAGGATTCTTCCTTTCTTTTTTCCTTTCTTTCGTTGCATCTTGTTTCTTCTTGCAGGCAGGCAGGCAGGCAGGTGTAATGGCTGTGGAAAGGAAAGAGAAGAAAAAAAGTCCTTTTAAAACAAATAAATTGATTTTATTTTATCTATTATCCTAGTCATACCTCAACCTAGGATCGGAGTGGTGTGTTTTCTCAAACTATCTTATCCACATTCACTCAACTACTCCTCGCTCACTCTCTCTCCCTCCCTCTCTCCTTGTACCTGGCTCTTTGCCTGTGA